AAGGGTCACCTTGATTTCTCAGCCCAATCCTCTGGCCTTGGTAGGAAAATGCCTTGTTAGAGAGATGGTCCTGGGGGAAGATAACTAGTGCTGTGTGGGGGTCATCTCAGGGGGGCTGGCTCACAGGGAGACTGGCTGGGAGGCCAGGGGGCTGCTTCTGCCACCAAGGACTGCAACACAGTCCAAATGGCATCAGCAGAGAGGAGACAGGTGCCTTAGCCTGGTGCCTTCTTAGTCCGAACTGCCACTCAGACTCCATTTCCCATCTACGCTGGGGAAGGGGATTTACAAAACAAGGTATGGATGGGAGTTTTCCTTCTTAGACACCATTGTCATTGGTGAGTATGAACAGTTTCCTTCTAACACACCTGGGCGGTTCCCACAGCACCAGTGGCAGACCCAAGTACCAGATGCCAGTGCTTAGAGTATCAATAAAGTGGGGCGGGGAGACCTAAGCTGCTTCATTGGCTGCCACCCCATCCACCCCGGTCTCTGCTCTGCTCTGTTGCCACGTGTTTCCTTAAGTCCACATCCCCGTAGCTCATAGCTTCCCCCAACCTCTTGGGTTTCTTGCTGCCACCAGCGGCACCATCATCTACCGTGTTACTCAGGCTCATGGCTCGCTTGCTCACTCCTTTACTCCCACCCGTGGGCAAGGGGGCTGGCAGAACCAGCCCCTCTACTCCCTGGCAGCCCTGTGTTTTCTGGGTGTTGGCACTTACAGCCTGTCGTGATTATTTGTGTATCTCTCCCCCCTCACCTGTGAGCCCCCCTCATTACTGTGGCCATGGGTCTTTGTCTGCACGGTGACTAGATGTCTATGGGGCGGGAGAAGGAAAGCCCCATAGAGCGCTAGCAGGTGCTATTCATCATTGAATAGGTATGAAGTCCAGGAATTGCGATTATTTTTTTCAAATTTGCCATAAAAGGCCAACATGTTCTTGAGGCTACAAAGGAGTCTGATCTGGAGTGGGAGGCGAAGGAGGAAGGTTTGGTAGAGGTGTGAGGGAGAGTTTATAGAGTCGGACATGTTAGTGTTGTAAGTGTGATGTGTGCTCATGGGGGTGGGGCACCTGTAGCGTGTGTAAGAGGGGATGGGTCTGTGCACGTGCCTGTCTCTGCTGTCGCCAGGCCCTGTGCCTCTGTGTTGACGTGCTAGGATGCCCCCGCCCCCCACTGCTGCCGTGTGGCACTGTGGAGCTGCTGGGGGTTTGTTCAAGTTATAAGACAGCCCTGGCTGTGGTGTGGGTCTCCGGGAAAATGCCATGTCTTTTGGTTCCTGTGAAGGAAGTGGGTGGTCACCCCTGGGGGCCGCCTGCTGCTCCCCATCTGCCTGCTGCCTTCTTTCTGGGCGGTTCTCACAAGGAGGAGCTTTGCATCTGAGAGCCGACTGGCCCTGAGTGTGTCTTCTCCTTTCTCTTCCTTCCTGCAGTCAGTTCTGAATGTGATCAGTGAGCTGCAGGAGCAGATGTGTAGTCTGCAGCTGGACATCCACAGGCAGATCCAGGAGCGCCTCTCACTCAGGAGGGGTGTCCCTGACAAGGTGGCGCCCGAGGATGGCACCGCCGAGCCCCCGGCCTGCAGCCAGGACTGCGCCTATTGGGAGGGGTCACCTGTAGGAACCACACCTAAGTATATCAGCATGCGTGTGCGGGCATTCCACAGGGGGAGGGGCTGGGGTTTCTCCTAACCACAGGTGCGTGCAGTGGCTTAACATGGCTCTGTTGTTACCTCTGGGCTGAGCTCTGGGACCCTCACTGAGCAGGGTCTGAGCAGGTGAGGTCCGCTCTCCAGTGGGTGGTGGCCCTCGTCTTCCTCAGGGCTAGGAGTGAGGTGTGTCAGGTGCTCTGAGGGATGGGGCAGTCACGCAACAGGAAGCCTCCGGAGTCCCTTTCCCAGGTGTGATTCAGACACTCCTGGGCTGGGAGGTTGATTAAAGTTCCATTTCATGGATTTCTTTTCTTTAAGATTTTATTTATTTATTTATTTATTTATTTATTTGAGAGAGAGAGAGAGAGAGCACGCACGCACGCACACAAGCTGGGCGTTGAAGGGGAGTCAGAGGGAGAAGCAGCCCCCCGCTGAGCAGGAAGCCTGATGCAGGGCTCAATGCCAGGACCGCAGGATCATGACTTGAGCTGAAGGCAAACGTTTAACCAACTGAGCCACCCAGGCGCCCCAGGATTTTTTTTTTTTTTTTTTAAGAAAATAACAGCATCATGAAATAATTCTTTCAAGTTTATTTTTAAACAAGTTGATCCCTAGTGAGAAAATAGAACACAAGTTTCCATTTGCTATGACAGTGAGGTCATCATCTGAATGTCTAGGAAAGGGATTTCACAAACTCTGGGCCCTGTGGGATGTATCTGACTGGTGTCCTGGACTTGGCCCCTTGTACTAATGGGACGGTGTCCTGTGTGTCCTAGCTGGGCCTGGTGATGGAAGCTGCGTGGAGATGACCTGTGCCTCAAAAGCCTGCTGTCAAAGAGGACTGGAAAGTCTGAGGGAAGGTCAGGGTCACAGTAGCCATGAGCACGGCAGAGGGTCTGCCTCAGCTCTGTAGTTAACCACAGTCCATACTCAACCGTGGAACATGTGGAAACTTTACCCAGACTCAGGCATGAGGGGAGAAGCTTGGGGGCGGGCTGGGGGGCGGTGGGTGAGGTTGGGGGGAGATTTCTTCCTACATTAAATAAATGATAAGAGGGGGGAAAAATGAGAGTCCAGATATAAGTGTGGATTTGTATAGGGAAGTGCTGAGAAGGTACTGGGTATGCCCCGTGTTGAGTGGGTCACCCACGAAGATGGCTAAAAGAGGCTAAAATTCACACCGGTGCTTATAGCCGCTGATGGGCAGCAGACAACCTAAAAGAAGAGATTGTGCCAAAGAGGTCACCAGAGCCTGGCCGCATTATGCTGTCTGTGCCCTGGTGGTGGCCTCTCAGGCAGGGCCAGAAATGTGCTCCCAGAACCATCCGCGATAAGCCACCATCCCACCAGGCGTTTAAGTCTAATGCCGCAGGTCATGGGTGCAGTGATCTTTGCCTGGAAGGCATCTTTTTTAAAAGGGCATCAACAGAGAGTTTCCTTAGATGCGAGAAAATCTTGATGAATTACCCTACAAAATTCAAGGGTAAGCGGTGTAACGTTTTGGCGGACTGTCTCAACTCCAGGCTGGTTAAATGCCGAATTGAATTTCACATGTTCGTTCATCAGGAGGTAAGACACACCTGTGTGCCGCAAGGCAGCGAAGCCGACTTGGAGTTAGCCAAGCCCCTCCCGAAGTTCACAGCGTAGGAGGAATACTAGCTGTTTGCAATCATACCAGTAAATGTCTGATTGCAGATGATGGAGGAGAGCTCCAGGGTGCCCTGTGGGAGTGTAGTAAGGGGGCCTGAAGAAGGGGGTGGTCGCCATAGCTTGGCCTCAGATCCTTGAGGATCGGTGAGAATTAACAGATGCAGACAAGAGGGATCGGTGTGTGTGAAGGGCCACGTCAAAAGGGGAACTACAAAGTGGCCAATGTGGCTATTGCCTGCCTAGGGAGAGAGGCAAGGGTAATATCAAGGGACCTGGTGCCGGGTCAGGCTGGGCAGCCTAGGAGTTTTGAGGAGCTTCGGAGTTTCGAGGGAATGCCAGGATCAGAGGCATGCTTTGATGGTATTGTTGCCCTGGATGCCGTAGGGGTCAGGGCCTTCAGGAAGGGCAGGGTGACGGAGGAGCAGGCCCTGGCGACACTGCCCGGGCTGTGGACGCGAGCTGCTAGGTCAGAGTAGTGGTGGCCAAGCTGGGGAGAAAGGAGAGACTCCTTTCCCTGGAGGTGGAATTCGCAAGGCTTGGGGTTGTCTGTGTCTCCCCATCTTGGGGGAGAGTGAGGTGCCAGGAATGGGCCCCGGGTTTCTGGCACAGGGAGTAGGTGCACGGAGATGGAGTTTCGTGGGACGCGAAAGGGGGAATGAAGTGTTCCACCCGGGCTGCGACCATCGTGAGATGCCTGCGTGGAGGTGTTGAGTAGGGAGTCTCTGAGAATCTGGAGATCAGAAAGTCTGGAAGTGAGATAGGAACCAATCAGCAGGACCAATCCACTGTTAAAGAAGCCTCGGTTTGGGACAAGGGAGCTTAGCAATGTCATCTTTGCTAAAGGGGTAGTTTAGAGAGCAAGGGCCTTGTAGTCAGAAGAAACAAACCTGACTCACCACGGGCAAGTTGTTCAATGATCCCTTCCTCACTCAGCAACCTTCAGTGGCTCCTTACTGGACAAAGAATGGCATCTGAGCTCCTTATATCCTCATCCAAAGCCTTTCCAGTAGGGCCCCACCTTATCTCTCTGGCCTCACCTCCCACTGCATGCCACCCATCCTCTGCCCCAGTCCCAACAGTGCGTCCCCTTTATCGGCCTCCTGCATCCTCCCTGTGCTGGGTTGGCTTCTCCCTCCCTCCTCTCAAGTGGACCCAGTTCCCTGCCCAGGAACCCTCCAACTGGCGCTATATTTGGCATTTGGCCTCTTAGTGTCTTCTGTCCTGCTGGTTGTCCCTTCCTCTCTGGAGCCTTCCAGGATCATACTGCCCTCTCCAGGTTCCTTGACCCCCCAGCACAGAGGGATGCTCCCACCTGGCCTGCTTCCCACTACTTTGTCCACAAGAAGCTGCCTCATTTTTGCATCTGTGTTGCTCTTGCTCCCATATCCTAGCTGTCCTCGCCCCCACACATTTGGGCATGATCTGGGTGCACTCTGCAGAGGACATGGATCAGAACAGGTTCTAAAAATAAGAACGTTTTCTCTTCCTGTGCCTAAAACTCCCTGGCTTCTGTTTTCTAATGGCCCAAACAGCTTTTCCCGGAACAGGACCATGGTTCAAGACTCGAGCTGCCGCGCAGAGCATGACGCAGGAGCTCCTGCACCTGGCATCCTGTGCATGAGCCTACCCAGGGTTGTCGATCCAGGGGCCATCGTGCTCTGTCACCATCAGAACTCTGTCTTTCCCCCTCATCCTTCCAGGAGTTACTGCAAGAGCTCAGGCACCTCAAAATCAAGGTGGAAGAATTGGAGAATGAACGGAATCAGTATGAATGGAAGCTGAAGGCCACTAAGGTACGAGGCAGTTACTGGTGCTTTTGGGGAGTGGCTGAGGGCCATTGGGGAGGGTCTGTGTTCGGGCTCAGGGTTTGCAATAGCCTGAGCTGGAAACACGCAGATTGACCCTTCTGTGCGCCCACGCAGACAGAAGATCCAGAACGCTATTTTCAAAGGGAAAGCCCCCTGGGATTAGGCGCTGCTGGAGCAGCTGAGTCTCCTTCCTCTTGCTGTGTCCTGTAGCACCCTAGGCTGACGTGGGACCGGGAAGGGGCTGTGAGCAAGTGAGAAGTCTTAAGGTAGATGAACGCCAATGTTAATAGGGGCTGCATTGTTTTAAATGTAGCAGTCCCTTTAATGATGTTTTTAAATAATGTTTTTAAAATAGGCATGCTGTGTTTTTAGCTTCAAATGCATATTTTACCTATATAAATATACTTTGACTGTTGTTCTAACTAAATCATGTTGCTGTTGAACTAGGGAGCTCGGCTACCCTGGGGGGCGGGGGAAGGGAAAAGACCTGGAGCGGCATTCCTGGGTAAGGGAGCTTCTGAACGCACTCTCTATTTCACTACGGTCTCTGCAGCGCCACCCAGAGGTGTTAGCCAGATTGACATGTTTACTTCTTACTAGGGTTTTTAAAAATCCTTAAGAATTTTCTTCACTTCTAGTTTGTAATTTTATTTTTTTCTATAAGTTAACTTTTAATGATTATAAAAAAGTACTTATTATAGGGGCTTTTTTAAAAAAAATTTTATTTATTTATTTGACAGAGACACAGCAAGAGAGGGAACACAAGTGGGGGAGTGGGAGAGGGAGAAGCAGGCTTCCCACTGAGCAGGGAGCCCAATTTGGGGCTTGATCCCAGGACCCTGGGATCATGACCTGAGCCGAAGTTAGACACTTAACAACTGAGCCACCCAGGTGCCCCTTATAGGGGCTTTTTAAGCCATAAAAAAACAAATAAAGATCACTCCCCACCCCACCCCCCAGCCCTAGGAGCTACCATTTGTAATATTTAGTTCTAGGAATTTATCTTTTGGGAGGTCTCTCTCTCTCTTTCTGTCTCAGTTTCTAGTATTGACCACTTATATACAATGTATGTCATGCTGTTAGAACTCTGAATGTGATATTGATGTCTGTATAATATGTTGTATGAAATTATTTTCTTCACCATTGTATGGATGAGAAGGCCGAGGCACAGAGCAGTTAAGGAACTTTCCCAACATCTTACCAAGTCAGCAGCAACCGTAGGCAATCCGAACCTGCTTATCTATAGCCTGTTTTTATCTAAGGGGACCTTTGTGTGTATGGTGCTTCAGTCATTTTCTCAAAGATCCCAGAACCTATTGTCACAGGGCTCCACTCAGGCGAGTCCTGTCTCAGGGAAGCCTCCAGAGTTGTACATACCACCTATTATAAGACCAAATAACTCTTTTTCGGTCACCTAAGCTCTTTGCCTTGGCATATAACCCTTTGAGATACGATGGGTTATTTGGTAACTCCTAGGTTTGGGTACTTCCTGCAGGCCAGAAGGCATCAAGTCCTTTGCCCACCTTTTCTCGTTTGATCTATGAAATAAGGTAGTGAGGTCTGTGGATTCACTATCCTCATTTTAGTGGTAAGAAAGCCAAGGCCCAGAGAGGCCAAGGTGAGGTTCCGATCTGGAACTGTGTCTTTGCAAAAACCATGCTCTCTTCCCTATAAAATCTTGATTCCCTACAGTAAAAACCCGTATTCTTCTTGAAAGTTCTCTTCAGTTTTCTGCATATAATGTGTCAGTCCCTGTAGGCCATTCATTTTCCAGTGCAGCAGCAGCAGGGCCTGCTCCCTGGGTTTAATGAGGCCGCGTACCTGAAGGGAGCTGGGATACCCCCCCTCCCAGCGCCAATGTGTGTGCCTTTGCCTTGGACCTCTTGCCACACAGCTGCAGCCTCAGTGGCTGTGGCAGGAACGTCCTTTGCCCTTGTGGTCAGGTAGAGAGCCTGTGGGCTGTGGTAGACTAGGGTTCCCAGCCGTGGGGACACTTGTCATTTCTGGCCCATTCTGTGGAATTTGACACAAGGGAGGTTTGGCCCAGGCACTTAGTCTGTAGGGTTTTCAGTAGGTGACCTCACCCAGAGGCAGGCCTCAGAGAGAAGAGACCTCCCTGTGCCAGGTGCTGGGCTCTGCCTCCATGGGCTCACGCCACTGACATACGTGGCTCCTGCAGACAAGCACTGGGCATCCAGATTGCTGACAGAGACCAGCTCTCACTCCGACTGCAGAGAAAGGGGAAAATGGCTGTAGGAGGTACAAGAGAGGTTAGGAGACTATCTCCTAAGAATAGTATAGTCCTTGTAGAAGTGAGAGGAGTTTGGACTGCAGGTCTCAAGGCTAAGGTTTTTGGAAGCCATGGACGTTAGTAGTGGTCAGCCATGGGCATTGAGGCCCTCAGTGAGCCAGGGAAAGCTATGGGTCTCAGCAAGCAGTTTGACATAGCGAGGCTTGGCTGTCTGGCCTCTGCGGGTCAATACCACAGAGCAGAGGGGCAGTGCTCCACAGGACAATTTCAAGTAAGGAGATCCTCTCCCTTGCTGCCTCCTTGTTCTCTACATGGTCATCTCTTTCCCTTTTGGGGGATATCAGGGAAGGTTTATTCAGGGACCCTGAGGTGGGCGCGGGGAGCCCTCACCCCGTAATAGCGGCCTTCACTGTGCTGTTAACTCCAAAGCACGCAGGCCACAGTGGATAGCAGCTGGCTCGGGAGTGGGTGGGGTTTATGTCCCGGGTACCGGTCCTGGTGTCTCCCCAGAAGCACCACGCAGGGATATTACTTCCTCCCATGGTTTCCTGTGAGGAGCGAGTGAGGCCTGACGTGAGTAGTCAGCAAGCATGGAGGCCCAGGCAGAGTGGGTGCTCTGCCAGTGTGTCCTGAGACTGAACGCAGGCCTGTGGGGCAGAGGAGCCACCAGAAGGCTCAGGGCTCATCTGGTTCCTTGAAATTGTTTGAAGGTTAACTCCAGCCCCTGTGGGAAAGGACAGCCCATTCCATGACCTTGAGGCATGACAGGGATGTGACTGGGCTCCCCCCAGGGAGAGATAGCCAGAGGACTGGGCTCCACTCTGTGTTGACTGGCTCTAGAGTTAGTCCTCACCCTCTTTCTTTGTCTAGTTTGGTGCTCAGAGAACTAGCTGGTTATCCACAGGGGAAGGATTACGATGAGAGGAGCCACAGTGGCAGCATTTATTGAGCACTTACTGTCTACCAAGCATGAGGCTAAGTTGTCCGTGACTATTATCTTACTTAATCCTCACCACTGCCCTATGAAGTAAATGCTGTTTTCCCCATTTCATACATGAGGCAAGACTCGGAAAGGTTAACTTTCCTAAAGTCACCCAAGTAGGAAATGAGAGAATCCAGGTTTGGCTCCAAAGCCAGTGTGCCCCGTGGGATGGGACTGACACCATTCTGATCTTCTCATGAGTATGGGAACATGTGAATAATCACACTTACTGTTATGTGTGAAATTTAACCTGCTCTGCTTAGTAGAGATGTGGGAACTGCCCAGTACAACAGTCCATGTACATGTGGGTCTGAATGTGTGTATGCGGCATTGTGGCTGTGCTTACCAGCTTTATTTGCCACAGTGTGTCTGCTCGGTGCACCTGAGTGCTTGTATGTGTGGACACGTACTTGAGCGTGTGTGGGTTCCTGGAGCCTGGGCAGAGGCCGTGGCTATGCCTGAAGGGTGGGAAAGTACTTCCAGGAGGAACCCTTGGCTTACTCTTTGTCTACCAATAGTGGTTTGATTTCCACTGTACTTCCTGGATGAGCTGGGAAAATGGAATCTGTGTGTACTTATCACAGTGGTGTATATCCATGGCTTTGTGTGACTCTCTGGGGAGAAGGAAGACCACAGCCAGAAGGAAACTGTCCATCAGCAGCTCTCCCATGGCACACCATCCCAGCTTATCAGGCCTCCATGGTGACTGGGCCACCTGGTCAGGTGGAAGGATACAGGAGACCAGCCCGAGCTGTAGGCATGGCCAAATGGGCCCGGAAGAATGAGTTCAGTGGGCAGAGCGCCCCCTTGTGGAGAAAGCAGTTAAGCGCCCCTAACTGCTCACCTCTGCCACTTCTGTCCCTGACTGCCCGGCAGGCTGTAGGACCCATTGGTCCTGGGCGGTGAGAGACTTGAGGCACTCCATCACAGTCTGGTCGTCCCTCTGAGTTCCCAGGGACCCTCTGTTGCTCTTTCAGGCTGAGGTGGCCCAGCTGCAAGAGCAGGTGGCCCTGAAGGCTGCCGAAATCGAGCGTCTGCACAGCCAGCTCTCCCGGACTGCGGCCCTCCACAGTGACCATGCAGAGAAAGGTAACCGCTGGACGGTGATAGGACGTGCTTGCCCCTGGGCCCCGGGCACGTGTGTCTGTGAGTGGGGGTGTGTGTGTGTGCCTGTGTGAGTAGGCTTGCTGTGTGTGCCTGCATGCATGCAAACATGTCTGAGCGAACAAATGAGCGTGCGGGTGAACGGGCCTGTAAAGCACAGCTCTGTTGTGGACTCACGGCCGTGAACTTCTCATGTGTAGTATGATCACGAAGCTCTGTGCAGCCCCCCTGGAGCTCTTCCTTCACTTGACTGGAAGGACTTCCTTTGTGTCCTCCCCCCAGGGGAGACTAGTGATTCAGTCACTTGTAGATGCCTGCCTGATACTCATACCAGGCCCTGAGGGCACAGAAACAAAGCAGTTAATTCTCATCCTATAGATCTCAACTCACTGTTAACCCTCAGACCTATTCTGGCCACCGTACCTTAACAAAGTGCGCCCCCACGCCCAGTCCAATTTTTCTCTAACTTCCATCCTAGCACTTAAATGTATCAGGGCTGCACTGGTGGAAGTCCTGTGGTGAAGACTGTGGTCCTCGCTGTGGGGCCAGGTCTGTGTCTGTTCTCTTTAAGACTGGATTCACAGAGCTGCACACAGCATTCAGCCCTGGTAGGCTCCTCAGAAATCCTGAGTGAGTGGAAGCGTGGTGAGTGGACCATGATAAGTTCAAGTCCGCTGTAAAACGAGAGGGTGAATCCTCAGATCCTCTTATTCACGCCTATTGAGTGTTTACAGCTGTTCACCTGGAGTACAGAATGATCACACACCTCCTGACTTCTCCTCCCACCACCAGGCTGCAGAGTGATGCTGGACGAGGTCCGGTAGCCTTGGGGATTGGCCCCACTGCTGGGTCCCTGGTCAGCCTTAGCACAGCTGAGCCTGGGTCCCTGGCTGGGGTGGGGAAGCCACGCAGCCCTGAAGCCAAGACTCGGGCTGGAGAAGAAAATTTGCGACCCATATGTTCATCCCTCCCCCAGCCTTTCTCAGTCTCTTCTCAAGTCTTTGAGCATGCCCCCTACCTGCCAAGGCTCGGGGTGGAGGCTGTGGGGCCCCCTAAGATATCCTAGCTTCTCTGCGATACTTGACCTGCATAGAATGCTGAGCCCTGACTTGAGGCCAGGCAGCCTTCCCCCGCCACCCTATGCTTCTCTGCAGTCCAGGCCTTCTAGTCCATCATCAGGTAACTCTTAGAGCTGGTCCTTTTGTCATTTGCTGCACAGGTTGGGTTCTGCCCAAATCACTGAGGTTTGCCAGTCTTCATATGGGGATTACCGCCCTCCTCCCACAAGTGGAGCTGCAGAGTTGGTCTTCAGCTGCCAAGAGCCTAAGATAGTGAGCAGGCACTGTCTACTTTCCTCTGAAAATAAATCCCTATGACTATGTACACAAAGCCCATAAATTTACTCGTCCTGTTCTTGTTGCAAGTGGGATGCCTGTACTTTAGTTCCCTCGTCTCCTTGCTTTGCTTACATAGTTGTCCCTGTTCCTTTTGCAGTGATCAGTTTAGGAGTGGGGACAGGTCCTTGTTTTGGAACTCCCAACTATGTGACAATCCCTAGGCCTAAATATTTAGCAGAGAGACCTCTGGCTCCTTTAGGCACTGTCCTTTGGCTCTCCAGACTGGTTGGGGAAGAAATCAAGAGTCCCTGTTAGGCCCAGAGGGAGAGCAGGCCGTGGGTGCTCCATACAGAGGCACACTGGGAAATTCTGTAGGCTTATGAAGTAAGATAGTTTTCCTTAACTATAGAGTTTGTTTGAACATACTTATAGATGTGTCTAAACATTTGTTAGTCAATTCTGACTATACCATTTTAAATTAAGCCAAGTACCCACCAGCTCTTTTACATAATCATTTTTTTCTCATCTTCATTCAGATGTGGGCTCTCTCTTTTTTTTTTTCTTCTTATTTTAAATTCACCTTTGCTACAGTCCATGGGACTGTAGGATTTTCTCTAAAACTAGTTGGCAGCCCAGGTGCATGCCCACTCAGGTAATCAGCAATAAATGTCTGTATTCTTCTGAGATGTTGATTTTGAAAGATCTGGGGGTTCTTCTGTGTCACCTTTGAGTAAATGGCATTTTGATTTTTCCCCACTAACGTCTATAAAGAGAAGATAAAATACTAGGCTCCTTCATTCATTTAGAAGTCCAACAAATGTTTAATGAGACTGACTATGCCAGACATCATCACAGGCTTTTAAAGAAATAGAAGAGCCTGTGTGCAGTTGATTCACAAGGAAAGTATCAGCAGCTTAGCATGTGGGGATGGCTGTCTGTCTTTACATAATTCTTCCCACACCTGAATTCTTTTAGACCAAGAAATTCAACGTCTGAAAATGGGGATGGAAACTTTGCTTGTTGCCAATGAAGATAAGGTAAGATGAACGTCAGGCAGAAAGCCCTCTCCTTCCTCTGCTGATGTCTCTGACTGTTTGGTCCCTATTGGTCTCTGATATTCTGGGCAGGGTCATGCCCATTAGGCTGCTGATCCAGGGATATGTCGGGAGAATGGCTTCTGCCTCTTAGAGACTGAGCCTCAGCCACCTGTTTTTGCCCTTGATGCCTAGGAACTTGGCTTAAGTGAAATCTCCCAGAGGCAGATTGAAGTGGTACCTGTTCATGTAGGTGTGGGGGAAAAAATATCACCGCAGTTATTGCCAATGTCGTAACTACTTAGACTCCCGCTTAGACACCAGTCTCCTCTGTGTACTGTCTGGTGTAGACTCATCGTGGAGACACTAAGCAGCATGCCATGTGCTTACCCCCCACCTTCTGTCCTTCACGTCTGATCCCTGTATAATCCTAGGGGAGCCCCCTCTGTAACTAGAGAGCACCTCCCTGGGATGGACATCAGCTCTGAGGATCACAGCCCTGCACATTACAGATGAGGACACTGAGATTCAGAGCACTTGAATCTTGTCCAAGGTCAGGTCACAGTAGGTAGTGTATCCAGGGTTCACCCCCCAATTCTGTCTAGGGCCAGAATCTGTGTGACCTCCCAAGTCCCCAGACCTTTTGATGAAAGAAATGATCTCCTCTGGGAGATTTCATCTGTTGTACACGGAATCTCAGACTTCCCAGGAACAGGTGAGGGAATTGGGGATAAATACACCAGCTTTATTTAATCTTTTTTTGCATGTAGCTCCAGAAGACAATAGTTGAACTAGGAGACAGATTTCTAAGGCTACCTCAGGAGGGGAGATAGTGATTGTTCTGATGGGAAATATTTAACCCCTAGAAGGACTGTTTTATGGCTAGAGATTGAACTCTTGCCTTTGGGTAGAGGCAAGAATGTTGGGAGCGGCCTAGTAGAGCACTGAGAACCCAGGCTCTATGGGAAGGAGGCTGGATGCCGACCTTTCTGTTGAAGCATTCCTTAGGTTCCCTGTGGCATCTCTTCTCCGTGTGCCCAGAACATAATGTGGCCCCCGTCACCCATGAAATCTTCAGAGGGGCCAGTGGTGGTGTTCACGTATAGTCTACTCCCACTGTGACAGGACCGTCGGATAGAGGAGCTCACGGGGCTGCTAAACCAGTACCGAAGGGCGAAGGAGATGATGATGGCAACACAAGGTGAGGGCAAGGAGGGCTCTGCCCTTTTCTCCCAGAGGTATTTCATCGACTGGGTTAAACCCAGGGGCATTTTGCCAGAAGGCTCTTCATCTTCATTTGGAGAAGATCCTCTGCTAGAGAGTGGAGCTGGTTAGCCTGTCCTGGATGGGGGAAATCGGCAGCTTGTTGTTTCCTAGAAACTATGTCTGATGGTGGTCCAGAGCTCCCAGGGACTAAGCAGATCATCAAGAAAATAAAGCCATCAGTGCGAACCCTTGGGAATCTCCATTCTTGGAGATCGGCTGTGTGTCTTTCCAGCATACCCCTTAGGGGCAGTAAGTGCAGTCAAACCTGGACCAAAAATTAGTTTGGTACCCTCATGGGGGATTAGAGTTTTCCCATGTCCAGAGGAATCTAAAAGCTCCCCCAGTAGATTGCCAGGACACTCAGGGAGCCTCCTTTAAGTCCCTGGGTACCTGGGTTCCCGTAGGAAGGCACAGGGCAGGGAGAGCTCTCCGTGTTTCGTATTTGCTGCCCGGGGTGAACGAACCTCCCAGGCAGCATTAGTGTTCGTCTGAGCACGGCGGGCTGTAGGCCAGGCTGCCTGCCTTACCCTACGTGCCGCTGACCTGGGCTCCTATCACAGTCCCCGGAAAGCAGCTACTTCGGAGGAGGGGGCTGCTCCGAGGGCATTCAGAGACCTCTCATTCTGGCTGAGCTTTTGCTGGGCCTGCACACACATCGCTGCCCTGTTTTTCCTCTTCTTTGGTATTTGGGGTCTAGTCAGAGCCTGACTGCCTGTGGCCAAGGAGTGAGAAGGTTGGGGAGGAATCCTAGGGGTTTCTCTATGTTCCATACATGAGCTTTGCCCTTGAGATGACCCTCATGACAGTCCATCTTCAGATGCCCTGAAGAATCTGAGTCACACTCTTAATGTACCTTTATGTATTCCTTAGGCTTTCTTAATGAAGGAGAAAGACTGTTAGAATTTTGTGTTAATTATGGGTTTCTGAATAACTCCCACAGTAGTGATCCCCCCCTTCTGCATTAATGCTTCCAGGGCCTTCGGAAAGAACTCTCTTAATCAATGAAGAAGAACTCGAGGGAAGTTTCAGGAAGTGGAACAGTGCGAATAAAGGCCCTGAAGAATTCTTTAAACCAGAGGTGCTATGTTTCACCCATGATGGGGGTTTTAGCAGGTCCTGGGAGCTTACAGAGCTTGGGGAATGATCTAGTCAGGTACCTGTCAGGTATAAATCTTGACAGGTGAGAAATTAAATAGATGGAGTGGCCCCCAAGGCCCTGGGGAGAGCACTGAGAGTGGGTAGGGGCCCAGGCGCTGGCCTGTGTCCTGACTGGGAGGGTTGACATTGTGGACGCTGGACTTGCAAGGATAGGAACTCTCAATCCAGTTCCTTGTTTCTTTTGTCTTTCCTCTCTGGGGTATAAGCAGAGACTGAGGGTGGTTTGGTTTTATCTCCCCCCATTTGTCCAGTGTCTGTAATAGTGCCCGATGCCCAGGAGAATGCAGATGGTTGTCGAATGGATGAGTGTGCCTTGCTCATGGAGGGGAATAACTTCAGCTACTGCAGGGATCCATTCCTATTTCAGACACCCCTCCAGCCGCTGTAACCAGCAGACAGATTTTCTTTGTCCTACACAAATCTCTCCGCATTCAGACTAGATACTCATAGATCCAGATCTCAAGGAGAGAAAGGCCTTCAGCTCAGGGTGTAAAAAGCTCATGAAACTCTAGAATGGCCAAACTGAAGAGGATCTTAGGGGTCTAGCTCAACTCTTTTAATTGAGGGAGGAACTAAAATGTTACCAAGTGACCAGTTATCAAGTCAGATCAACATTCCAGATTGCTGGCAATCATACAGAAGCAGTGATTGACACCCAGTACCAATGTGTGGTTACTGCAATGAGCTCTGTACATGGCTCTCACCTTATTTCTTGTCACCTTAATGACACCCAGCTGGGATTCTTTCTTTATTGTGAAGCTGAGGCTCAGAGAGGGTAATTAATCTGCTTTAGGTCACACAGCAGCTAGATGGCAGAACCTGGAAATGGACACATGTTTATTAGACCAAAAAGGTACTTACTGGGCTCTAGAGAAAAAGTCATCTTTGCACTTAGTACAACAGTGAAAATGTCAAACTGTGTCCTCCTTAGATGCCACCTTTAGCTCATGTTCAGTCTACCTGTAATTCTCTTCCCTTTTTGCCTTCTCACTAAGCCCATTCTCATTTCTCAAGTGTTCTCCCCTCTGAAGCCCTCTTCTGAAGTTTCCCTTCCTCCCATCCATCCCTCTGTTGCATTAGAGGTATCATTATCATAAGAACGTCTGCACTGATCTTTTATCTCAGCTGTCTGCCTGTTTGCTGTGGGGAACACTTACTCACACCCAGCACGGGGCCCGGCAGGCCGTGGAGGTGGCTCATGTTTGTTAAGTGCATAGGTCCGTTCTAGTGCTTCTCATTGCAAGCACCAGACATCAACTCTGGCTAACCTACACCAACAAGGCATGTTTCTGAAAGGGTGCATGGTGGCTTCCTGCAAGAAGGAAAAAGCTAAAGAACCCAGCTCAGAGAGGGCAGGAGTGGCAAGGGTCCCCAGGGGTTCAGGTGTCAGGACTCTCCTGCAGGGATATGGGGCCAGGTCTGGGGAGGAGTTGCAGGTTGGCCTGGGTTTCCAATACTCCTTCCTCCTGGGCATCCTGAAAGAGCAAGGCACCTGAATCAACACAGCCAATGTGGCTGTACCTAGGGGAGGAAGTGGTACTCCTCAAAGGAGAAGGGATGGTAGGTGGTCTCCACACATTAAGTGTCCCCTACGGCGACTTCTGTTTCTTGTACAGATGCCTCCAAGATGTAACTCTCCCGCCGTGGGGCCGCCTCCTCTACCACAGAAATCACTGGAAACCAGGTAGGGGTCCTGACTATGTCCCTAGAGCTGCTGTGCGCTCAGCCCACCCTTGGGGCTCCTGCAAGGCAGGGATTGGCCATGCATGGTAAGCACAGCCACAGGTCCTAGGCACACCTGCCCTTCCACTGAGCAGTGCTCCAGGCCCTGACAGTGGCCACACTGTGGCCGGAACAGTCACAAACATGCCTACCTCCCCTAGCCACGGATGAGCTTCCCTTCCCATGGGCTAAGGGTCTGGGCCATTGTCACTGAGAAAAGACCTGGCCAGGGATTGGAGCCTCAAAGGAGAAGTGGCTGTAGGTCATCTGTGCCCATCAGGGATTCCTTGGGGTGAGAGCATCCCATGTTGTAGGTCTCATTTTCAACAGTCCCCTCTTGAAAGTCCTTTCTGCTCTTAGGAGTCCCAGAGCCCTGTGACAAGTCCAGCTTCGCCAGAAGAGCCATTTCTCCTACAGAGAGGTTGTTCTGTTGCTTTGGGGAAGCTTCACATGACAATGAGCTTATAATGGGCTGGCCTGTGGGGTCACTGGCTGCCACTGGTCTAGTTCCTTCTAAAATGAACCAATTTCTAGCTCCCTAGGTCAACAATTTAGGACATGCTTTCAGGTTAGGCCCCATGTAATGGAGATACAGAGGCTCCACTGCCAAGAGCAGAGTGTCATTCAGTGAGGACATCTGGGGAGATTGGCCATATGTATGATGGAAGTTTCCCCAGAATGGTGCTGAGGCTCCAGCACTACGTTCTGGACCCCACTTTCTATAGGGCCATTGTTTCCCTCAGCCTTTAGCCCTAGAGAAAAATGCCAGTGTCAAAGACTGCAATTGGTAGTCACTTTGCACAATAAGAAATTTAGTTTAAGTATGAGTTCACTTGGGAAAAAGTCAACAGTGATTAACTCACACTGACCAGACTCACAGGAGACCAATGTACTAAGAGATTTTGCTTTACTCATATAAACTGAGACGCATCACTGCCAAGGAGACTTGTTACAAGGTAACTCTTGTGACCCCTGGTGGCATGGTCTCTTCTCTATATAGTTTGTGCCCTTCTCTGCAAAATAACCTCTGAAAAAGCAAATTCCGCTGAGCGGACTGGTCAGGACAGAGCTGGAGCAAAGGCTTGGAAGATCCTAGCAGGTGATGCTCTGGAGCTGTGGCTGGCCGATGTGCTCACCTCCACTGTAATGTGGCACAGCTCCTTCCTCCCAGGGTTACATCTTAGACTCACGGATGAGGCCGTATCGGCACCTCTCCTGTCTTTTGACTCTGCAAAGTCTTCTTTCTGACTATAAACCAGTTAGCTCCCATTGATGTAATAGAATTGAGTGTGTTCTGTATTTCCAAGGAACGTCAAGGCCTTTTGATTTGGATTTAAATGATGCTCTCATGCCCTCAACAATACATTGTCTGACCAGGTTATTCCCTGAAATGGGCCAGTCTCCTGTGTAGTGGTTGTGATGAGAGAGTGACTTTTTCCTGACCTTGACCCTAAACCCACTTAACAGACTACTGGTAAAACATTTGGTATGTCCTCTGTATGAATGACACACCACCTTGTCCAGTAACTGTGTCTTTGTTCGCTTTCTTTTGTGTTTTTCCAGAGCTCAGAAAAAACTCTCATGTAGCCTAGAAGACCTAAGAAGTGAACCTGTGGACAAGGTCAGCCCCTTGTAACTCCTGAGTTCCTTACCCAGCAGTGCTGGGACACACAGGTCCCATCTTGTAGAGGCCTTTCTGAAGCTGATGGGGAGGCAGGAATTACATGAACATTCTGAGAAAACCAGTCAGGTGTGGCCCAAGGCATCCCAGAGGGAGGCCAGGGCATGCTGCAGGGAGTTGATGGACAAGATGCAGAGGTGAGCACAGGCAGGTTTTGGGAAATGGTGGGGAGCAGGAGGGTGTGAGTTCAGAGCCTGAGTCAGATCAAGCCGTCAAGGTCTTGAGTCCTGGGCCTCTGTTGCAGGGATTTTGAATGAGGAAGTAATGTGGATAAAGTTGATGAGCCCAGGAGTGAGTTACAGGATAATTTAGGAGATTGGAGAGGAAGCTTTTTTAAGAGTCTAGAGAGATGTGAGGAGGGCTTTGTGCCCCTTATTCGAGGCTGGCCCTTGACCATGTGGGTATTCCGGGTGCTGGAGGGTAGATCCCAGGTTCTCAGGCATGGTCACTGGAGACCAGACTCCTTTCCTGAGAGAGCACCTTTCTGGAGCCTGCTGTGTTCAATCCCTTGGTCTGAGCAGTGTACCAGCACCAGTAATTACAAAGGACACCCCTGAAGACTGAGGCTGGCAGGAGCCACGGGGCCCATTCAGTGGCTCTGGCCCTGTGGTCCTGTGCTTCTTGCTCTCCCTGGTCAGATTGCTGGCAACTACCTGGAACATCTGTCCACAGGTTGGACAGTGACCTGTGTTTCCTCCGTGGATGGTGATTACCTAACAGAAAGATGGGGAGGGAGGGGATGAGCCTTGCAGCTGGAAGCAGGCAGGTGGTCCAGAGCTGTCATTTGTGACTAACACTGGTCTCTCTCTCTGCACATGATTGAAACCCTTCTTGCTGCTGCACAGTGTGTCAACGGGAACCAGCTCTCCCCTGGGGTGGAAACCAAGGTACGATAACTGCCCCGATCGTGCACTCATGGTTGTCTGCTAGAGTTTACACGGAGCTTTGTGCCTGGGAAATAGGTGAATCATAAGGGATAAGAGCACAGGAGGAAAGACAACGCTTCCTTTCCCGTTTCTGGCTTACGCGCACCGTGTAGTGTGATTTCGTCTCGTTGTCTGTGGGATGGGATTTTCTTTTACAGGCTCAGGAAAGTTCATCTTTAACATTGTGGATCTGATTGCAGGGAAGGGGAAGGTTAGGGTTCCTACACACAAGCTGGAGGAGCAGGACAGCTCTCATCCTTTCTGTGCTCACGTGTCAGGGCTAAACACGGGCACACTCAGCCACCGGGGCATCCCCTAACATTGACGTCTGGCCCTCGCTTTCTGTGCTGGAGAGCTCTTCACATCTTTCCCAGCCCTAGTAGATACACCTTCAGGACTTCCCCAGAGCATGTGCCCGCTGATCCTGGCTCTCCCTCTGGAGCCCCTGGAATGAACCAGCCTCCTCTGCTCCTGACTGCTCCTCACACCCTCCTCTGAGCTGAACATCCTCTTCTCCAGCGTGTGGATCACAAGCCTTTAAAGTTCCCATTCATCCTCCTTAGGGTCCGCACTGGTTTCTCCGGCTTGTGCCCTGGACCACACATGAGCGCAATGTTCTGGATGGGGTCTGATCTAGAGACTGTGCTCCTACAGCCTGCTGTCTCTCCAGGCCCCGGGCACGTGATATTTCTTGTGCCTGTGCTTATCTGCTGTCCTGGCATGCTCAGCCTGAGGCAAGAGTTGTTCCCCATTGAGAAACAATAAAACAGGTTGTGGGAGGCTGAAGGGAAAGAGCTTTGTCTGAGTCCGTCTGACACAAAGCTTGTGTTCTTGCCGCCTCCAGTGCGTTGCCACTCTGTTCTAACGTGAGGCAGCTGGGGTTTCCATTCCCCCACAACCAGCCGCATTCTTCTGTTCCTTCTGGGTCCTGCCCTGACCTTTACCTTTTCCAGCAGTGAGTCCTTCCTTCCTAGCTGTCGTTCTTGGCTAAACAGAGCTGAGAGCCCTTTCTGTCACCCTCGATTCTTTCTGTTGTCTTATAGGCCTGGGACACGCATGCTTGGGTTAGGTTCTGTCTTCTTTCCCAACCAGCTTCTGTCCCCTTTCCCATCCAATGAGCACCCTGGACAGCCCACATCGGTGGCCTCAGTGGTCTCTTCCCGATCTTTGAGGGGGGTGGTGCATGGGTGATGATGCAACTGGAAATCTGGTTTTGAGAGCCCTTCCCCACTCTTCTATTTCCTGTGTCATGTGGAACCTGGAGTCACAGATCCTTAAACCTTTCAAACATTGCCTTCCCCACACTCAGTGCTTCCAGCTTTAACTGTGCATCAGAGTAATCTGAAACGCTTGTTAAAAATACAGACACTTGGGACCTGGTTGTCTCAGTCAGTTGAGCATCTGCTTTCAGCTCAGGTCCTGATCCCAGGGTCCTGGGATTGAGTCCTGCATGGAGCTTCCTGCTCAGCAGGGGGCCTGCTTTTCCCTCTGTCCGCTGCCCCCCCGCTTGTGCTCTCTCTCTCTCTCTGACAATAAATATATAAAATCTTTTTTTTTTTTTTAAAGATTTTATTTATTCATTCGACAGAGAGAGATCACAAGTAGGCAGAGAGGCAGACAGAGAGAGAGAGAGGAGGAAGCAGGCTCCCCACCAAGGAGAGAGCCCGATGCGGGGCTCGATCCCAGGACCCTGGGATCATGACCTGAGCCGAAGGCAGAGGCTTTAACCCTCTGAGCCACCCAGGCGCCCCAATATATAAAATCTTAAAAAAAAAAATACCACCACTTGGGGTGTGCTCCCAGCGGGGTAGATTCACAGGACCAGGTGCAACCTGGGAACCCTGTCTTTTCAGGTGTTCCCGGTGACTGTGAGGCAGCTGGCACAGGGACTGGCATTTGTAAACTGTTGACCTGACCAGGTCCAGTATCTGCCTCGTGGGTCGTCATGAGCTTAAAAATCATGCAGTCTCCCCATCTGATTATTTGTGCTTCACCAGCTGGTTCTTTCAGACTTCCTTGGAAATTTAGTCTCCTTTTTTCCCCCATATCTCTCCTTCCTGAGCCTGTTCATGGGGATTAGTAGTCCGAGTTCACAGTGGTTAGTAGTCCATGTTCAGTGAAGGAATCGGATTTCAGACAATTTCAGGGATGCGTATTTTATAAGCACAATGAATTCAGAATTCGTTGGATACCTGGCTTTTAACTAAATGAAACTTCAAGAGATGTCTCAGGCATTGAAGTCTCTATCACTTCTCGGACTTGTCCATTTGGAAATCAGAACTTTTGTATTACTTTTCTTCTGGGCCCCATCAAGTTATCCACAGTCGATTTCCTTGGTAAAAGAAAATGGAATGAATTTTCTCTCTTTATTCAAATGCATTTTCTCTCTTTATGCAAATGCATTCCACTGGGTTTCCCTTAGGTTTGTGGCTTTAGGGGCCATTATGTCCTTTTTCTTAAAAAAAATAAAATTGCAGTGTAGTTAACAGACAGTGTTATACTAGTTTCAGGTTTAGAACATAGCGATTCAGTAATTCTATACGTCACTCGTGCTTTTCGTGATAACTGCACTCTTAACCTCATCACCTATTTCACGCGTCCCCACCCACCTCCCCTCTGGTGACCATCAGTTTGTTTTTTGTAGTGAAAATCCTGTTTTTTGTTCTCTTTTTCACTTTGTTCATTTGTTTTATTTCTTAAATTCCACATGGGAGTGAAATCTTATGATATTTGTTTTTCTCTGGCTGCATTGTGCCCATCCTGACCAGTTAAGTGCAGTTCTTTTCCCTTTATGTCACCTTGTTTTGGGTACCCTTTTTGTGGCTAGGGTGTCTGCACAGGCCCATTGTGCTGGGGCTGAATCTTGTGCAGACCAGGATCCTAAGTTCTAAGGGAATGGGTGGTGTGTCGCCCCACCGGCGTGTTTGCTCTTGTCACCTCCCCAGAGTGTACGTCCCTTCTCACTTTGTCTTAACCTGGTGTTTTTCAAGATAACTGTTACTGTAATATATAAATGTAACTTCCATATGACGTATTACATAAATATATATACTAAAGCAGTAGTTGTACCCTTTACTAGAATTCGGGTCTGTTAATTCGAAGTGCCCAAGGGATCATTGGTGGCTGTTAATTCATGGCAAGTCCGAGCATCCAGCCAAAGGGCAAAGCCCCCCTTTGCCAGACACTTCCACTTCCTATTTAGAGTCAGTTGCAAACAGCCCCAGATTTGGTCCTGACTCTGTCCCTGTCTCATTGTGTGGCCCTTGGGCAAGTTTCTTTCTCAGAACTCTGGTCCCTTTTCCTGAACTAAGTCATCTTTGCAAGGTCTTTGAGTTGGGCTAAGTGACACGTGGCTCTTGGAAAGCTGAATTGTCTGTGCATCCAAACATTTCCTAACTGGGTTTGAGTCTGAAGCCATAAAGTTGCTTGAACATGTCTCTCTCTCTCTCCTTCCAACAGGACAGCCCTTTCCTGGTGGAGCACAAATACCCCACGTTACCTGGGAAGCTTTCAGGAGCGACACCCAATGGAGAGGCTGCCAAGTCGACTGCCACTGCCTCGCAGCCCGACCCCGCAGGGAGCAGCCTACTGCGGCTGAGTGAGTGTCCAGGACCTAGGGGTGGCGGCCACACTTTCAGTTATTGCAAAAGTCCCGTGCCCACTGCCACAGCCCACAGTTGGGGGATGGTCGGGTGGATGGACGGGAAAAGGTGTCCTTCTGGGTGGCCTCCCTGGCAGAGACCATGGCTCCCTGTCTGGGTACATTATTTCCTTTGGTAAGCCCTGTAGAGCGCCAGAAACCCAGGGTGTGAGCCCTCCCTTTCTTTCCACAGTTGCTCCACCCCCATTTGCCCTCTTCCAGTCCTCCTCTCTTGGCCCTCCGTGTCTTTCCCATCATTCCTCTGTTCCTTCCCTCTTAGACCCCTGAGTGCATCCTTCCTGTCCCTCCCTCCCTCCTCCTTTGTCATCCTGATATCACCCCCATCTGTGCCTTCCTCCTGCAGCCTCCCTATTACTGGTAAGATGATATTATGCGCTCTTCCAAGGGAAAGTGTTTCCTTAGGGAAATGGAGTGGCCAATGGGCAAAGATATCCATCCACAGGTGCCCTTTTGGTGCTTAGGACCTGGAACCGTGGAGGTCTTCACTGCTTTTCACACAGAGTAGGCCATCTTTCCTCAACAACAACAGGTCAATGGAGTGTAGGAGGGAACATTCTGGTCCCTGCAGAGCCCTCCCTCCTCTCCTCCTCACCCCTGTAAGTTCTCTGAGCTAGCTCGTGGGTTGCCTTCTGCCCTTGGCCAGTTCCGCCTCTGGCTGCAGGAACTCCAGACAAGCTCTTGAGATAGTCTGTCCTGGTAACCCTGAGACTCTGGACTCACAACAGCTTCAGGGCATTCTAGACTGATCTGAGGGAGCCCTGGCGCCCACATGGGGGCTGCGTGTGCCCCAGTGTGTCAGCCCCTGCCACTCTCCCTCCCTCTCCCTACCCGTGTGTGGCTGCCTCGGGCTGCCAGGGAGTGGCCCTGAGAGTATTCGATCCCCTCCGATCCCCTCGCGTTAGACCTCCTCTCAACGCACTGACCCTGGGGTCCAAGTTCAGTCACTGTTCCCACCCTTCTTTTCTCATGGGATTATTTTTCTTTCTGTTTGAGTTTTTCTCTCTTGCTCGATGACTCTTCTGTTTATTTCTTTGCTTCCCTATAACTCTGTTGGGCTGGACTTTGGCCTCTCTTGCTTCTTCATGTGGCTTCTCTGCTTCTTGATTGGCTGGAGATCGTGGCCGGAGTGTCAGTGCCCCGGTATTAGGTACTGTACCCTTCCAGGTGAGGTGGAGAGTGAGATGCCCTTGTGTCCCTCCCCTGACACCCTCCCTTCTGGAACATTCAGCCACATCCCCTCCTGCCTGCAGCCCTGCATCTCCCTTGGGGGAAGGAGGAAGCTCCTTGTTGAAGTTACCTGCCAGTACTTGGACCCCCAAACCTTTAGACTTGAAAACATTAGCTCACCCCAGTTTGGAACACTAACCTGGCCAGTCCTCAGAGAGAGAGCCTGGAGTGTGCCTGAGCCCCCACTGGTTTCTGAGAAGGAGGTGTGACATTCTGCCTAGCAGGCAGAGCAAACTCTTCCCCAGTCCCACTGAAGGATGGCCCTGGCCTGGGGTCAAGGTTTTGAAGGTCATGTTCCTTTCTGTCCTTCACACACCATTCCATTCTTTCCATCTCAGGAGACACAGAAAGTGGTTGGGATGACACCGCCATGGCCAACGATCTCTCATCCACATCCTCGGGCACTGACTCAAGTCCCCAGTCTCCCCTGACCCCAGATGGTAAACGGAGCCCCAAAGGCATCAGGAAGTTCTGGGGAAAGTAAGTTGGTGGTGATCATAATTACATTGCTTAGAATCAAAATTCTTCTAGAAATCTAGAAATCAAAATTCTATGTGGTAAAGAACCACATAGCCCCCTGTTTAATTAGATGTTGGAACAGCACTAGAAACAGGCCGTTAGAGGGAAGAATTGGAGTTCTCTTCGAGGGCGCAGAGGAGGAGAACAGTAAATGTAGCTGTTGCCTTATCTGCCCTTCGTTCCCAGCATCACTCCCTCCCACGAACCCCAAGCACAGCTTTCACCACATGTACTTTGGGGGAGACAATGCATGAGACCAACTTCTTCCTTCCAAGGGGTCAGTCTGTGCCTAAAGAAGGACTTGCTGGCCCTGGGCAGATATGGGCCTCCTCCCCGCATCACTTCCTCACTTGGACCCCACAGGGTGTGCCCCAAATCCCAGAGGCAGAATGAGAATCGAGGCTTGGGTCTGGGGAGCTGTCACAGGTCATGATCCTTGATCTCCGGGAGGCCCTGGGCAGCAGTGCCGTGAAGAGTCCAGCGTCCAGCTGGCATGGCCCTGCATAGGGGCTGGTGCCCTGCCTGCATGCCCCCAGCTGCCCCCTGACACCCTCCATGGACTCCTCTCCACACAGGATCCGAAGAACTCAGTCTGGGAACTTCAACACCGACGCCCCAGGGATGGCGGAGTTTCGACGAGGTGGGCTCCGGGCAACTGCAGGGCCAAGGCTTTCTAGGACCAGAGACCCCAAGGGTCAGAAATGGTAAGGCTCCCTCCAGTCCATCAACAGAGAACTGTGAGGTCTTGGCCAAGGGGCCGAATGCTGCCAAGACAGAAGGCAGAGCTTCTCCCTGTTTCCCACTTGGCGCAAGCAGACATTGTTCATGCTTTACAGACACGCTGAGGTAAAGGCAAGAGGCCCCCTCCAAGCCGCCGTGGGTGCTGGACCCTCAGCAGCTCTGCATGTGTGTGATTCATTAGCCTCAGGGCCTTGGCGTGCGGGATTGAGAAACTCTGGGGCAACCTTTGGGGCACAGATTATGGAACCACAGACCCGACTTGGAATGTCCACTCAGCCACTCCTAGCGGCGAGCCTTAAAGCAAGTTCTCACCTCTCTGAGCCTCAACAAATGAGTTTCCTCATTTGTGAAGTGAGGAATCAAAGGAAGTTTATTAAAGTTCTTAGAAGGATCGCATCGCTGCTGCTCATCTAACCTAAGCATCAGCAGTCTGCCACTCACGGGTCGACCTCCTCCGGTAAACGTTGAGAAAGGGCATTGTCCCCCGCCACCCGAGCAGGCCGCGTTGCCATTATGCCTCCTAAGACAAGGCCCCAAGCTTTGCTGAAGGGTGTTAGCTAAAGGGGGTGGCAGACAGTGTGTTCCACAGGAACTACCTACTTTTGCAGGAGTCTCCCATCATGCCCAAACAAAAAAGTGTGAAAAGAAACTAAACTTTCTTGGTTTGCCCTGGCTGTGCTGGGGTTCCTCCAGTTCCTGGCTTGACCTGGACGGCCCTGGTAGACACTCTCCAGTGAGTAGCTCTGCCCCCTTTCCTCAGGCCTGCCCAGGCAGAACAGTACTCCGGAGCTTTAGGAAAATCCCTTTCCATATCCTCTGATCCCCTGTTCCCATCAGACAGTTTCTACAAAATATTATCTCTAGTAACTATCTCCTGAAGTCTGAGCTACTCAGCCAAGGTCAGGCTTCTGAGCACCTTCCTCAGGATTGCATTGTGACACTTTAAATCTAACCCAACAGTGAAAAGTAATGTTTAACTCTCCTATTTAATTCCTCTGAGATTGCTATCTACCTGTGCCAGGAGCGGGTAGTGAGTAAGACATGCACAGTTCCAATACCAATCCTCAGAAACAGTACAATCAAGAGGAGAGAAGCACGTTTCCCTAAAGCAGCCTATTGTTGGCGGACCTCACCCCCACCCCTCCGCCCCCACTGCCCTGAGAAAGGGAACCCACGGACACACCCTTCTCTTCCCCACCCAGCCAGCCCCAGCTTTCTAAGCTTTCCCAGTTGGCTCGGGTGTGAGACGAGGGCCTCCCCAGATCCACTTGCACTTTGATGGGTGTCGACAGACGTGTTTTCCAGGTGCCGTGCAGGGAGATGTGAGGGTGTGTGCACTTGTGTACCTGCCAGCCGAGGCATTGGTGTTACAGGTGTAAATGCTTGGTGAGTGGTAGCTTTTGGAGGCAAGAGAAGGCAGAGACCCATTCAGAGCCAGTAAAAAAGCGAGCCAAAGAAAGCTTATGTATTCCACAAGGACGCTCTAATTTCCTAGCAGTTTTTTAAATTTAGATGCAAATGTTTCTGATTTTTCAGAGATGAAAAAAGTCTACAGTCAGCTTGCATGATTAACCTCAGCTCCAATTCTGGTGATTTCTTTAGCATTGATTCACTGGCAGGGCTATAAGAACTTTCTCTAAGACCCTTCAGCATTTTTTCTTAGTGCCGACCGCATGGTTAGGAGGCCCGTTTATCTTCTGTCAGCCATTTCAGGATGGGGTAACCAAAGTCAGGAACTTCTCTGCTGAAGGAAAAACTGCTTCCAGCCACAGGGCTGGTTGCTGTGAATGTTTTTGTGCTTTGTTAACCATAATAAGGATGAGAAAGGGGAAGAGGACACCCTAAGGAGATTGCTGCATTTATGCTAACAGTGCTTGTGGTAAGGCCTTGCATTCACTGGTGGAAAAGAATGGCCTTTCTTACTTGTCAGCGGAAATTTGATATAAACTAATGGCTTCTGGTATTTATAGATGTTTAGGTATAGCCTTAAAAAGTCTCATCACTGGGGTAGCCTGGGTGGCTCAGTCAGTTAAATGTCTGCCTTCAGCTCAGGTCATGATCTCAGGGGCCTGGGATTGAGCCCCATGTCGGGCTCCCTGCTTAGCAGAGAGTCAGCTTCTCCCTCTGCCCCTCCCTTCCATGCTCTCTCTCTCTATCTGTGTCAGATAAATAAGATAATAAATAAATAAGATAAAATCTTAAAAAAAAAAAAAAGTCTCATCACCAATATCCCTGTAGGAAAAGTACTTGGTTACAGAAAGTCTCCAGCCCCAGTCTTTTTTTTTTATTCTAATGAAATATTTCTTTTTAAAATAATCATATTTGTGGGGCACCTGGTGGTTAAGCTTCTGCCTTTGGCTCGGGTCATGATCCCAGGGTCCTGGGATCCAGCACCACATCAGGCTCCCTGCTCAGCAGGAAGCCTACTTCTCCCTCCTCCACTCCCCCTGCTTATGTTCCCTCTCTCGCTGTGTCTCTCTCTCTGTCAAATAAATAAATAAGTAAACTTTTAAAAATTATGCTAAAATAATAGTATTTGATAATGACATTTCCTAGGACTCTTCTCTGAGGTTATAGAAGAATAAATTTTATTATGTTTTTTCTTCTCTCCTATTAAGTTTTCCTGATTTATATTCTAGTCAGCACTGCTACGCAGAGTGCCTGTCACACTCACAAAAAATTACATTTTATTGTTAATTTAGTTTTCAGATGTTTGTCATTTTACTTTTTGTGAATTGTCTGCATTTTTTGCCCATTTTTGTTACTGTCTGTCTTACAGACTTCTGTCTGCTCTCTGTGTATTAAGACATGAAGCTATGTCTAGTAATGGTGATAAATTGTGTTTTAGGCTTGTTACAGAACTTTATTTTGTGACACTTCGACATATGGAATTTTTATGTTTATATATAATGAAGTTCATGAACTTTTGTGGTTTTGTTCATGTTTAATTTTTTCAATGATTTTTTTAAAGCTGTGTCTGAATCCTCCGTTTGGGGATTTATTTTGGTATGTGGTGAGAGGTATTTTTGTTTTTCCAAGAGAAAGCAGCAGTGTATAATGTTGAAGTCAGGCGGATTCGATCCCATGGCTGGATCTCATCTCCGTGCAGCGATGATTCCTGAGCTGGCCTCCTGAGTCTGCTGCCTTTCGGGACTGTAGCTTTATGAGGGGCTCTGGTCAGACTCTCTTCCTGCCTTTCTCCCATATTCATGGCATCAGGTGTACCCTCAATGTGAGCAAGTCTAAGCTTCAGGGTCCTTTGCTTGCACCCAGGTGTCTTCTAGGATATGGAGAGAGTCCCATCAATGTGCCAACAAAGCCATGTGTTTTGCAAAACTTTCCCAAGTCAGGTATTTTAATCTAAGCAGTTTTTGACTGCTGACTGTTCACTGCAGACTTCCCTCCATCTACACACTGCCTTCTGTCAGATGATACTGGAGCACCATGGGCATTTGAGGGATCTTGCCAAGGGGGAGTTGAGTTCCGGGTTTCCATTTAGCTTGTATTTGTTGGGGTGTGCGTCCGTGGTGTGCGGTCACTTCATGTTTGGTTAACTAGCTGTCCTCTGTAAAAATCGCTCCCAGGGTTTGCACCACTTCCCAGTGTGCCCATCTGTCCAGCGTTTTGACACAGAGATGCAGAGCTGGCGGTCACGTCCCAGTGTGAACGTGTCCTTTGGCTCTTGCTATTAGAAGTCTGGGGCAGTAGAAAAGAAACATTTCAAATGTATAAAACCAGAAGCTGTTCTTTGAAAACTTTTCCCAGTCATTAGGGTGCGAAATCCCAGGCAAGGGCTTTGCTTCTCATGGATGCTTCGTCAAAACAGAAGTTCTTCCTAGTCAGAAGTGCACTGACTGATGACGTGTATACAGTTATAAATGCACCATGTGCTGTCCCTCGTTCATGGGGATGGCACATCTGATAATCTCTTACATCACTTTAACCACAATTTGGGAAGATGTTTTGGAACATGTCAGTAAAGCAAGTGGTTTGGCTGTGCCTGGAAGGTACCTTCTCTATCCTCTCTGAATTGCTTCGTTGCCTGTTCAGCGATAGCCCTGGGAGACCCCAAAACTGAGAACCTAGTAGGGGCAGGCAGGTGGAGAAGCAGGGTCTGCCACTGTGGGAACAACACTGGTGGAGGAGGGTGGAGACCGTTTACAAAGAAGGGCATGGAAATTCTGTCGAAGATGAGCACTGGAGCTCTAGAACTCTTGAAAAGGTGTAGAAGAGCGAGGTTTTCAAATTATGATCTCAGAAGCACATTTTTCATTCAGAACTGAAATACCCCTCTGATAAATTGAATATGTATTTTTACCAATTTCCAGAAGTAAGAAATGAAGTGAAATCAAAAGCTAATAGAATGTGAAATAAAAGTGACAAAATGAACATTTGAAACTGAAAGTATTCTGGCATTAAGACAAACTGGGGTGTCTGAGTAACACAGTCAAGTGCCTGCCTCTAGCTCAGGTCATGACCTCAGGGTGCTGGGATCAAGCCCCACATCCGGCTCTCTGCTTAGTGGAGAGTCTGCTTCTCCCTCTTCCTCTGTCCTCCCAACTCATTCTCTCTCTTTCTCTCTCCCCCATCCCTTCCCCCCTCAGATAAATAAATCTTAAAAACAAAAGAATAGACAAACAATAAGAAACTTTTAACTATAGGAAATAAACAGGTTGCTGGAGGGGAAATGGGGGGGGATGGGGTGACTGGGTGATGGACATTAAAGAGGGCATGGGATGTAATGAACACTGGGTGTTATAGACAACAGATGAATCACTGGACTCTACCTCTGACACTAATAATACACATATGTTAATTGCTTGATAAAAAAAAAACCAATGTCTCAAAAAAAAAAGAATAAATAAAAAAATTCCAGATCAGACCAAAAGCAGTAATTCATTAAAAGCAAAAGATAAATTCCAAACAAAAATATTGAATAGGAAAAAAAAATAGTGAATAGGTTCCTAGATTATTATTTATATAAAGTGAATCATATTAAACACACTGGAAAAAGCTGAAAATTTTGTGATTTAACATGATAGAATACATTGACAAAGATAACAAACTCAAAGATATTTCTGGAGTTCGTGATGGTTTTCAGTGTGATTAAACTTGTAACATTTTGTGATTTCTCATTCTAAATAAATTATTTGTTCCTAATTCCATATTCAGATTTTGTACTTTTCTTAAAGCGGTCCCTCCAAATTTTACAAGTTCTCCCAGAACCTGGATCTCATTACTCCAAGTGGCCAGCACTTACCCCAGGACACCTAGAATCATGCTTTCTTTTTCTTTTCTTTTTTTTAATATTGAATTGTTTTTATTTTTAATTAATTTTTACGATTCTAGTCACTTAACATTTTATTCACTTATTTTTTAGTTTAAATGCAGTTAATTAATATATAATGTATTATTGGTTTCAGAGGTAGAGATCAGTGTTAGAACCATGCTTTCTTGTTGTTCTGGTGTTTTAACTCTTTTACCTTAAGAACAACTCAACCAGGCATTCCCAAACAAATTTTTAAAAAGATTTTATTTATTTATTTGAGAGCGAGAGACTGAGCGAGTATGCAAAAGCCAGGGCAGGGGGCGGTGTGTGTGAGGGTCAGAGATGGAGGGAGAAACAAAATCCCCACTGAGCAGGGAACCTGATGCAGGGCTTGATCCCAGGACGCTGGGATCATGACCTGAGCTGAAGGTAGATGCTTAACCCACTGAGCCACCAAGGCACCCCTGCCCCACCCGCCAAAAACAATTTTTTAACTAGCATGTTAGGGGTACTTTGTTGGAAGGAACCTTACAGATTATCTAGTTTTCTACATTCCATAAATCCTGGTTGGTTTTTCTTCAAATGAACATAAAGTTGCTTTGCCAGCCTTCCCCACCCCAGACTCCATGGAGGTTTCGAGTGTGCCATTATATTCACACTTAAATGAAAAATTGATGTCTTTAAGAACTGATGGCTTTGTAATTCCCAGTCATCCTGTCTGGGAACATGATCTAGCCCTTGATTTATTCATGACTCGATGTTGCTCAGTTGAGGGTAATCGTCACCACCTCCCCCTGCTCTGCTCCCATCCCCACACACACATACATATGACTTGGGCATTGCTTGAGAAAGCAGCTCCTAGACATTTTATAATTCTGGTTGCCGTGAATCGGATTCTTAAAATTTTTCAACAAAAATGTTAGTATATGTGCTACTTATTTTGTAAGTCATATAAATATGACTTGCGTGTTTTATGAGGAGCCCCCTTACTGGGCTCATTTGGGTTGTCCAGGTGGGGCAGGCCCATCATCTGAAAAGAGTGGCTGTCTTTTACTTTTACCTTCTATCCTTCTTCTCCCTTCTTATACTGGCCGCTCTCTCAGACCCGTGTTCTTAGTCCTGATTAAAAATACTCTTTATTGACTTTAATGTGAATGTCTCTAGTGTCTCATTAATAAGGCATTCGCTGTTTAGAAGGTTTTTTTTTTTTTTTTAATGTTAGAGAACTAACCCCCTTTTCCTAGTTTTCTAAGCATTTCCCTTAAGACAGTGTTGGCCCATAAAAATCTGATTACCCTCGTAACGGGGCACAATTCTGGGCTTGTAGCTCGTGTGCCTCATCAGTGGACAGATGACCCACATACACGGCCTCCTGAGGACCGTATGCCTGGCTTGTGCTCACAGTCCCCGCAGACTCAAAGCTCACACCAGGTGTTACCACAGGAAACTCTGGAATCCACTAAAGATGAGTATTGTCATGGAATTTCGTGCAGCTTGATCCCATGATTAGGATTATTTAAAACACAGTTGCCTTTTCTCTGAGGCTCTGCTGTGCTCAGATGCAGCCTCAGGCTCTCCCACTAACAGGGCCCTGCTATTCTCTTGTCCCCCAGTGACGCTGGCGCCCCCTTTGCCCAATGGAGCACGGAGCGCGTGTGCGCGTGGCTGGAGGACTTCGGCCTGGGCCAGTACGTGATCTTCGCCCGGCAGTGGGTGACTTCTGGCCACACTTTACTGTCAGCTACCCCTCAGGACATGGAAAAGGTAAGAACTGAGCCCCGGGAAGGAGGTTCCCCTTTGTCCTCAAACCAGTATCTGGGGCGGTGAGGCCCCCACTCTTCCTTCCTGCCCTTACACACACACACACACACACACACACACACTCACACACACACACACGGTGGGGGGCAGGGGACGAGGCCAAGATGTCCTCTGTGACTGCATGTCGATTACAGGGCACTGTGCCTGTATCTGCTGCCACACACACCCCCATCTCTTCCCAGACATGGCGCCCTCTGAGGGCCAAGCTGCCAGCCGGAAGTTCACATCTGTCTGTGTCTTTCAATTTCAGGAGTTGGGGATTAAGCAGCCTCTGCACAGGAAGAAGCTGATTTTGGCCGTGAAAGCCATCAACACCAAGCAGGAGGAGAAGTCAGCCCTGCTGGACCACATCTGGGTGACACGTAAGGACGGGCAGTGTGCATACATGTCCCTGGCAGCTCCCGAGGGTAAACAGCCTGTGCTGGGAATGTGTGCCTCCAGGACTAGCTGTCCTTGGGAAAGGCAGATGGGGGAGTGAGTTCCTTACGGGGAATCCAGATGGACCTGCAAGATGATCGTTCGTTGCTTTTTTTTTTTTTTTAAAGATTTTATTTATTTATTTGACAGAGAGAGATCACAGTAGACAGAGACAGGCAGAGAGAGAGAGAGAGGGAAGCAGGCTCCCTGCTGAGCAGAGAGCCCAATGCGGGACTCGATCCCAGGACCCTGGGATCATGACCTGAGCCGAAGGCAGTGGCTTAACCCACTGAGCCACCCAGGCGTCCCTCGTTCGTTGCTTTTTACCTGCATTCACAGTCTCCCATTCTTATGAGCCCGAGCACACCTGTTTCTTCTGGTTTCTGTAGGTTGGCTTGACGATATTGGCTTACCACAATACAAAGACCAGTTCCATGAGTCCAGAGTCGATGGGCGAATGCTACAGTACCTAACTGTGGTGAGGATTTTCCCTTTCAGGGTTTCCATGGTCTCTGTGAGCACTCAGCCCAGCTATCCCCCTGGTGCTTATTCTAAACTTGCTTTCACCTCATCCCTCTTTTCTTAAGGTCTTTAAATAGTATTGTTGGTCACACAAGAGGTCCAAGGTAGCACAACCATTGAGCTAAGAGAAGCTGCTGGGGTGTCCATTGTGCACTTTCTAAGATGTGGTAGACTTGTCTGTGTGTGGTCTGGGAAGGAACCTGAAGGGTCTCAGTCACCTTGGAAATGCTGGCTTATCAACCAAAACTTTTCTCTTCCAGAATGATCTCCTCTTCTTAAAAGTCACCAGCCAACTGCATCATCTCAGCATCAAATGTGCCATTCATGTGCTTCACGTCAACAAGTTCAACCCCCACTGCCTGCACCGGCGGCCAGCTGATGAGGTGAGGACAGGACTGTACCTATCCGGGGACCTAGCCTGGTAGCCGTGTGTCTGGACACCTGCAAGGTTAGGTGTGACAAAACAAGAATGGCCTCAGAACAATGTGTCTGCGTTCTGAACCAGGTTGCTTGGGATTCTTTCCCTTGCTGCTGCTTAAATGGTGCCCCCAGACACCCCCTGTTGCCTGCATTTTGTGCCCCACAACAAACACTGGGCCTCTAAGTTCCCACCGCTCTTAGGGAGACCGGTGTTCAGGGCCAGAGGCAGTAACAACAAGTCTTTAAAGCCATCACAGTGACCAAAGATGATGAACAAGCGGTTCAAAGGAGAAGGAGGGGAAAGCAAAATGGGAAGATGGGGTCAAAGTGGACAGAGGGGAGAAGAGCCCCTCAGGAACCAGACATTTCCGATCTCCCTACTTGTAGCTACACAGTTAGCTGACCTCTAGTCCCAGGTGCACAGGGGGTGGTGAGCAGGTTTTGCTAGAGAAGAGCGAGCCTAGGTAAACACTGCAGCTCATGTCGTGGAGAAGTGCCTGGTCATGTTCTGTAGGCCACAGAGCTCTTGTTACGCCCTGAAGCTAAAGGCTTGTCCATCACACCCCATCTCCTATACTCCTGGGAACTGAGTGTACCCGTGTTATAAGAGTAACTCCTCTTCCTGAGGGATCAAAAACTCCTACCTCCGCCTTCCGTCTCATGTTTTCCCTATTCAGCAAATAAGTTTTGAATGCCTTCTGTGTGTCAGGCACAGTGCTGAGCATTTTGAAGCCTAAGATACCACTTAGGTCTAAGTGTCTTAAAACATTTGGCTGCTCCCAGGAGATCTTTTGTCTGTAAAACACGTGACTCGTAAATGATAGTCCTCTTTCAAGTTCTGTTGAGTCACTGAATGAATGACTCTGTGCCTTCATTTACCAGTCCCAACCAGAGAATTAGGGAGTCACAATTAGGGTTCTGGAATCAAAGATTTCAGTGTGAAAGATCTTGCAAGACTCTGTGAGAACTCTCTCTCGAAAACCAGGAAGGCTCTCGGGTCGCTGGGCTGGCTGCCTAGCTCAGTGGGCATGAGGGCTGTCTTCTGGTCAGGCATCTGAGGCAGGCTTGTTCACAGGGGCTGGTCCCACAGGGGGCCACAGGTAGGGCCTGTTAGACCTAACTTTCTTCCTCTCCCTCTCGCAGAGTAACCTTTCTCCTTCAGAAGTTGTGCAGTGGTCCAACCACAGGGTGATGGAGTGGTTGCGATCCGTGGACCTGGCAGAGTACGCACCCAACCTTCGTGGGAGTGGTGTCCATGGAGGCCTCATCGTGAGTGGCTCTTTAGACTAGCCCAGCTGCGTCATGTAAACTGGAGTAGTCAGAACACGGTTTTTTCACAGCTAGACATAAATCCTGGTAAAAATAATGACAGCCCTTACATCAGTTGAAATCTCAGAATATTTGATAATTTGCAGTTGGGAATGAATATACTTCATGGAAACAAGATGGTTTCTGGAAAGGACTTCCGGAGCACCAGATCCAGAGGGATCCAGGACAAGTCGGTTGCATCAGTCAGGCCTTAACACAGCATCTCCACCTGCTCCTGGAGGAACGCGGTGGCTGGGGAGTGAGGGGTTGGCCACCACAGTGTAACTTCCTGCTTGCCATAATATGGTCGTGATTGTCCCTGAGATCTGTCAAGTGGTAAAGTCAGTGGGGCAATGAAGGAGGGGTGGTTTGGACATCCTCCAGAGCAGAGCGGACCCAGGGAGACAGGCTTATCCAAGAAGCAACTGTGCTCTTCTGGTCTGTGAAAATGAGGCTGCCAGCCACCCAGTGTGTTAGTCCCTTCTCCGAGCCAGGCCATGTGCCAGGCTAACCGAGGGGAGCGGCATACAGGATGAGCAGATGAGCTCCAACCCCTCTCTGGAGACACCCCCCAGCCCATGAGGGCCTGTTTCTCCATGTCCCCTCCTAGAGCCATCTATAGTCATTGCTGGGCGGCTCTGTCTGTGTTTGTTTCTTAGATCCTGGAGCCACGCTTCACTGGGGACACCCTAGCTATGCTTCTCAATATTCCACCACAAAAGACGCTCCTCAGACGCCACCTGACCACCAAATTCAATGCCCTGATTGGTCCCGAGGCTGAGCAGGAAAAGCGAGAGAAAATGGCCTCACCAGCGTACACACCACTGACCACCACAGCCAAAGTCCGGGTGAGTTGCTGGGCCCTTGAGGGGCCTGCCTTCTAGCATTTGCGTTGTACTGCAGTGGGCCGGGTGCCCGGACCCAAACTGGCAGGCGCCTGGGGCACACGGATGAGGAGGCTCTCTCAGGTCCTGTCCTCTGAGCTTTGGTCTCCTCGTCTGTTTCATTTGTTCAGTTCCTGCTGTACCTGAGTCCAAGGAAGAGAGTAGAGTTTTCTGTGCACACACACCATGTCCAGGAAGCATCTGCTCTCAGCCAGCTAGTGCTTGTCCTCAATCCCAGGAATGCCTTGACTCATCTTGCAAGCAGATGAGTTCATGATTCTGTGTTCCATTCAGTCAGGCTCATCTCTGGGCCAGTGTCATGGCGGGGGGCGGTGGGGGGGCAGGGAGGTGTCTTCCTCAGAACTGTCCTGCCAGCACAGTGCTCCGATGGCCTGGTGCTGGGAACGTGGCCAGTACACAACTGTCCAGGGGTCCCAAGGTCATATAAGCACCAGCAGCACACCCTGGGGCTCTCTGAATCCCACAGAGCCTGTGAGAAACTGCCTGAACCACACTGTCCTCAGACCATGTCCTCCTCAGACTGCAGACCCACACCTCTGGAGGGCATGTCCCCAGCAGCATGGTGATGCCCAGGTCTAGCTACAGTTCATGCACGGACTGCCATCTCCAAGGGAGCAGGGCTACACGTGTGTCTGGGGGAGACCATCAGATAGGGTACCGCAGGAAGCTAGAACAAGCAGGAGGGGCCGCCTAGGGCTGTCCATGCGGCCTCCCCAGGGCACGAGGCACTGCAGGCCATAGAGGCCGCCTCTCTGTGAGGCAGTTCCTCCAGTTACCCCTGGGGAAGGTAGAAGGTCACTCATGGGCCAACAGGACTTGAGTCTTTCAAGTCACACAGTCTTGGAGGAGCAAGATTCTCTCTCCTTGCTCAAGATTATTTACCTATCGGCCTCTCCCTAGCCAGGAGCTCTGCTGTGTTGAGAATTTTTCCAGAAGTTGTTTAGCTTCTTCCTTTCCTCCTTATATTGTGAGTCCTGTCTGCACCCTGACTTGATAATCCCCTTCTCCTAATCATGCATTTATTGTGTTTTAGCCAAGGAAACTAGGATTTTCGCATTTTGGCAACATAAGAAAAAAGAAATTCGATGAGTCGACGGACTACATTTGCCCCATGGAGCCCACTGATGGTGCTGGTGACAGTCAGAGGGCCTACAGTGGCTACCGGGGCCTCAGCCCCCTCGATGGCCCTGAACTGGATGGGCTGGACCAGGTGGGACAGATTCGCTGATGGCCTTGTTACCGTCCTGTCTGTGCACCCTGAGAGCTTCACCGTAACATCGCGTGTGTCCCCACAGAGCTGCGCCTTACCCCCCGCCCTGTGCATGCCTCACAGAGAACATTCCGGCTGCTGTGTACCCCCGGCCAGTGTCTCTCAGAACTCTGGGGGGTGGCCAGGGTAATGGAGTGGCACTTTTGCTAAGGGGCCAGGCTTTGGGGACTCTTGCCAAAATGGACTCGGGAGGAAAGACACAAGGATGATTGTACATTTGTAGTAACTCTTAGTGGCCATCTTCAGCACTGGTGGAAACACATGACCCTGGACACGGGTCCCGAAACCACGGATGATCCCCAGAGGCTCGGCTCTTGGGCCCCTCTTCTGGGCTTCCGGTGGGGGCCAGTGTCAAGTGCCTTAGGCCTGTGGCCACAGAGTCGCGGCTGAGACCCCAGGGACGGCAGTGACTGCATCACTGTGTTGTGCCTTACCCACATGGGTGGTCGCTTCTTTCTGGTAATAAAGACAGTATTTATGTAAAAAGCCAACAGCACTGCATATCTTTAACCTCACTGGGTGGGGAAGAGAGCTGGGCAAAGCTGGAGATGGAGTCCTGTGACATTAGGTGGCCCTGAGCCAGTCCTTGGCCAGGGGCCCGCTTGGCATCTGCCAGGTGTCGTGGACAAGGGGCTGAAGCACGGAGGGACCCCATGTCCTTCAGAGGAGGTGTGGGGCCTCTTCATTTCAGGCTCCACCTCCCTCTGTGAAGCCGTGGGGAACCTGGTGCTCAGTGACCGTCGGTCACATCTGTCATGCAGACCCCAGAGTCAGTTTCCGTTTCAGTGGCGTGAACCTCCTAGAGTGCAAGAAAAGGGTCCCATGGAAATCGCCTCTGTTCTTCTGTGTGGTTTGTCAGCCTCTCTGCTGTTGACCTGGCTGGGCCCATGTCTGTCGTGGGGGCTGGTCCGTCTGTTGGCAGAACGGGAACAGTCTTGCCTCCTGATTTAGAGGCTGGCTAGCTGATGATGGCTCTTCCAGATGGGCCTTGTCTGGACATATCTTGCCAGTCTGGGTTCCTGCTCTGAGATTCCAGTTTCTCCGGGGCAGGGTTTGGCCTGCTGGGTCCCCCGGGCCTCATCTGCAGGGTATTAACTGCCTCGTAACAGTCTGGCGGGTAGGAACAGGGCTTGCTGGCCCCCTTCAGGTCACTCTGATTCTGTCCCAGATGCCGGCAGTGCTCTGATTTGCTTCTTAAACTACCAGCAGCCCCAGGGACAGCTGGTAACCCCAGATCATGACTCCTGAGCCCCCCTGAAGTCAGCCAGTGAGAACAGGATAAGGTCTCTAGTTGGCACGGCTGGTGCTTGATCCCAGTACCTGGGACACTGAACAGCAGGTGCTCCTCAGGGCTGGTCGCAGGACATGGCTGTCATTGAGCTGGCTTTGTCCCTAATTTCCTGGAGTGTCCTGGGGAGAGTGTCTCTGCATGCACCTGTTTTCAAACCCTGCATGGAATTAGTATCACTGCATTTCTGTGCAGCCCCAAGCAAGGCCTGTGTCCCTTTGTGGACCTGTTTTTCGCACCTGGAAAATGTGGGATGATATTTGACGCCCTCAGAGGATGCTTCTAAAGCTAGAATGTCTGCATAGGCTTAGGGAAGAGGGAGCAGACCAGCACTACCTCAGGGTAGGAGGGGAGGCAAGGAAAAGGGAGGCTCCCGGCAGCTTCCTAAGGATGCCCATAACCTCTACTGGGGCGTTGGCACATGGGGCCCTGTCGTCCCTGGAAATTGTTGGTTTATTCAGCATGCTGAGGCCTTCATCCCTGCCGCTTTCTGCTCCTAGAACTAGCTGGAGCCCCGAGCTCGTGTGGATGCCCGTGTCCTGTGTCCCTTGCACCCTCAGTGTTGGTGCCAGGGCAGGCCTCGGGAGAGTGTGCACATGGCTGCGTGGGATACTGGAAGCTCTGGCCTTCCCGGGGACACAGACAGCATGTGCCCTGGGCCCCCTCCTCGCCCACTCCCCCAGGACAGGACTTGCATGCCGTCCCTGTGATCACAAGCGGACTCTGTCCACGTGTGCTGACCAGGCTGCTGCCCGTTTTACAGATGGCCCCTTCGGAAGGCGCTGTGACGCAGATAGGGCTCCTCTCCCAAGACATTCACCGCCTCACGGTAGGATTCTGACCTTCTCTCCACAGTAGGCCAGGTGCCAGTGTGGCCCCACGATTCTGACACTGTGATACCCACGGCCTGAGACAACCCCCCTACATACACACACCCAATCCCAAGTCTGTGTCCTAGCCTCTGCTAGGGATTCGAAGGGTGGTGCTGAGCACTGTGGCCGGAGCTGGAGCCAGAGCTGGCCTGCTGCTGGGCCTTGAGCTGCAAGGGGCCCTAAGGAGGGTCACAGGCCTTGAGCCGAAATCAGCTAAAGCAAGCCAGGTCTCAGTCCTCTTCCCAGGCTCAGAGCTGGTGAGTTCATCTGAGAACCAAGATGCTTAGCAGTTCTGCGTCACCTGCTTCCTCAGCCCGATGCCCGGGCCTCCTCTCTGACTTGGTGGGCATCGCACTGCACTCTCTGTCCGTGAGACACATGCATTTCATGCCGTGCCTCTGACTTCATGGATATCGTGGGCATGTGGACACATCCTGTCATCCTCATGGGGACAGACTGTATCATGAAGGGACAGAATGGTGTCAGAGAAAGAAGCCACTTTGGAGTAAGGCCAGTCTGGTTCAAAGTGCTGCTCTGCCTCTTACTAATTCTGGGATTCCAGGCGAGTCATTCTCTCTCCGAGCCCCAGCTTAGTTACCTGTGAAGCAGGGCACTTAGAGACAGGTGAGAACTGGCAGTAAAAGACCAGCCACAGAGAAGATTTGCAGTGTGGAGGCCTTGTACCTTCCAGTTCCCGTTACTTCTGGATGGTCCCATCACTGAGCCCACTGGCTGTGGCATCTGTCCACGTTGAGGCCCCCATCCCTGTCCTTCGCTCACTGATCTGTTGAGGAACACTAAGAAGGTCATATCCAAGGACAATATGGAAATGGGGGGGGGCTGGATTGAAATGGGTTCATTTTTATTCTTTTTTTTTTTCCTTGGCTCACACAGTGAATGCGCCCACCCTTCCCCTCATCACCACTAATAGGCCTTGGGGGGGTCTTGAAACAGTAGCTTCACCTTCACTAAGATATGAGCGATAGTACAGTCTGTTCTGATTCCATATGTGGGGTCCCTGGAACCCCGTGAACTTAGAGGGTGCCAGTGTCAGGACCACACCCAGTGTCCCATGGCTTCCCATGCAGCTGCCGCAGGGCAGCCTTGACCAAAACCCTATTCAACTGCCCCTTGGGCTGTGTCCTTTCAGACTCTGCTGAGCCAGGACCACCTGCTGAACGACTCTCACCTGGCCGCTCCCAGCTCTGAGGACTGGAGATGATGTTCTTCGTGGCCGAGAGCCCAGAGAGGCACGCGTGGGGGTCTCAAGTCTTTGCGTCAAGGGGGAGCTGGCATGGCCACCTGCAAAGCCCAGCCAGGCTAGCAGGACACCTGGGACGTGTGTACCGACAGGAGCGAGCAGAGCGGTGAATGGATGTCCAGGAGATGGTCCAGGGGGGGGCCCTGTGTTTTCACCCGTGCTGTGCTCTTCACTGTAGCTTTTATATACCTTTTGTACTTTTATACGTGGACTGCACCCCACTTCTGTGGGGATGGCGGTGAGATGTCAGCACAGACTCAATGGCTCATGCTCTTCCTGGTGACTTTTGGGAGGTTCTTAACACCAAAGGGGAAAGGCAAGGAGTTCATAAAAGCTCTGCTGGAAGAAAATTCTGAAAAAAATATTCTGACTGTCCTGTAGTGGCTGAGCTGGCTGAAGTGACAGGGAGTCCCTCCTGGCTGCTTCCACATGGTGGGGAGTTGGGGGTGGGGGTACTTCCCTTCACAGGGCCAGGTGAGCACCGGGAAGGAGCAGTGCGACTCCTCCCATGGCGGCCCTGACTGCCCTCGTCCTACCCTCCTCTGCAACAGGGTGTCAGGTTGTCAGTGCTGCTGGGCTGCCTCAGGTCTGAGCAGAGGTGTCTGCAACACGCACACACGCACAGGGGCACCCTCACCTTAGCTGACCAGCAAGCGCAGGCTCCCAAGTGCTGGTGTCTGGTCAAACAGCTCCCCCTAGTGGACAGTCCTGGCACACCCCAAACGTTTTCCACTGGCCCAGTCCATCTCCCCACACAGCCCGTTCCTTGTGGTTTCTCCTACCTTGGGGGGAGGCCCCACGTGCCCCCAGCCATACTCTTCCTCCCTGTGACAGCTCAGGCCTCCTCTCTGCTTTCCAAAGCTGATCTCCTCCTTGGTCCACCTCCTCCCCAGTTGGTCCTCTCCAGAAGTTCTCTCCCCTGTCCTAGAGTGGCCTTCCCAAAGCACTGTGTTCATCCCGTTACCTTTCTGCTAAGAACTCCTGAGTTCCAGAATCGAGAGGAGTTCAAAAGCCTTAGCCAGCCCCCACATCCCTTCTGAATCTTCAGCCTCACAAACTCACTCTGTAGCCTGTGCCATTGCCTTTCCCTCGCTGTGAGATGTTTCCCCCCGGTCCCCTTCACAAGGCTGAGTTAGAGCCAGAAAGCCACCGCTTCTTCAGAAAACCTTCTCTGATGCGTTGGCATTTCCTGCATCCCACTGTGCTGTCAGTCCTTGAGCCAGAGCCCTCCTGGCTCCCCCTGTTGTGTGTCTTTCTCCCTTCCCACAGCCACGCTCAGCACAAACGCTCTGAGCACACTCCCGTACAGACTGGAGCAAGAGCCAGCCCCGGACCCCACACCGCTTGGGGACTCCACGCGTGCCGTGATGCCGTGCTCCATCCACTCACCCCTTCCTACGTGTGGGTTAAGCATGTTCCATGCCAGGCTGAGAAGAGCTGGGGATCTAGGCACGAATGTCAAGGTGCTTGTCTGAGGGTGCTGATGGTCTAGTGGGGGGGACACCTCTTTCAAACATGGGTGTACTGAAAGGTACAGCTGCTCCGATAGAAACTAGTTGTCCTTTTTAATAGAGGGCTGGAGCAGCAGATAGGAAAGGCTTCAATGAAGCAGTGCTACTTGGATTTCTGAGATGAATCCGGTTCCCCGAGTGTGCCAGAGGGGTAAGGGCTGGTAAGATCTGTGTTAGAGAGAAGTACAAGGGTGAGCTCGTACTACTCATACTGCGCCCATCGGAGTATCTTCTCCAAGTGGGAATCCGCTGAGGGTGTACTGAACACACATGGGTGAAGGCTCCTAGCTTCTATCCCCTGAGCCCCCCACCCACCATACCCCTACCTGCCCTCTGTGAGACTGTCCCTAGGCAGGGCACAGCTGCCCTTCGGTGAGTTCTCTAGAGCTGTCTTACCCTCTCCTGTACCCCTCACACACAGACACACACACACCCCCAGTGTCACTCGTTGCAGCAACAATGCTACGATGCCAGTTTTTTGCAGAAAGGGAAGAACTTGGAATTAAGCACCCAGGTCTCAGGCCCAGCTTCCCTGCCTCCTGTTGAAAGGACCTGAGGATACTAACTTTGTCTAAGAGCCTCACTCTCCTCATCCATAACTCGGGAGAACAAAATCCCCACGGAATCTCTGGCTTGTTACGAGAATGATGTGAACTGAAGTGCAGGACGGGTTCTACCCAGCCCCAGGTATCAGAGCAGCACATCAGCCAGGCCGTGGACAGCCAAGGCTGGGTGTTCCCTTGCATCACTTGGGGGGAGCAGTGGGAAGGAGTTCAGGAGTACCTCCTGGAAGCTCAGCCCATCTGCACATTCAGAAGCTACTGTGCTAAACACCCCCACCCCGCCACACCGGAATGCGGCCTGGCATTTACACGACGCAGAGAAAACCAGGGCCCTTGCCTCTATCTGCTGTGCAAAGCACGGGGAGCCTAGCATGGCTGGAGCCCGCCTACCCCAGTGGATCTGCAACTGCCCTCATGCCTTTTAACACTGTTTCCACTTAAAGCGTCTTCCTACAAGAAGGAAGAGTGCACATGGAGGGTGCCTGGGCCTTCTAGTCCATCTGACCTTTAAAAACAGAACACTCTGGAAAGTTCAAGAGATTACTGGGAGTTTATATGACCCCACTTGGTTTCTTCCGGAATTCTGCCCCTGCACTTCTGCCAGTTCTGACCTCCCTTGGACATCCAGAAGACCGTTCACATGGAGGGCTGGTCTAGCAGGCCCCACAGAGCCCTATCTCCTGAGCGATCTGCTTCATCCTGAAGTTTATTAAACTACAGGGCAGGATACTGCAACAGAATTCCCTTGAGCCTCCCAAACCAGGAGGCCTCAGAAACCAGTCTGCTTCCAGCCCCCTGAACCCATCTTAGGCCCACAGCAGAAGGAGGAGCCATGTGCCCAAGGATGCATAACAAGGCACTTGTAAACACATCCCAGTTTAATGTGGTAAGGTGGAACTCACTCTGAAACAGATAAAAGGGAACGGGCAAATGTGCTAGAAGCAAGGGAGGTATTAGTAAGTGAAAATCATATCCTTGGTATAACCCAGTTTCTCCAGGTTAGGGTGAGCAGCTGTCTGGATCAGGGGCAGCGGGCCACACACAAGAATGAGCGTGGACTGCCCAGGAGGAGGGAGGTGCTCCTTGATCATGTTGTCGGTGATGTAGCCTGAGCTGTACTTCCAGCCTGAGATTAAGCAGAAGGAGAAAAAAGCTGTGAGGCTGCTTGATGGATCCCCAGACCCCAAGCCTCCTACCACGTCCCCCCCGACAAAGAGGGAGGCAAGGCTTCTCTCCAAGGCTTAGAAATCTGCTCTGCTGTTCCCTACAAAGAAGCCGGAAAGTCAAGGACATGGGAGACCCAGGAAGCTGCCTTCAGTATTGACCCGCGATCCCAGGCTCACTGCTGGGACTCTGAGGCCCCCAGCCACCAGCTGGCGCGGCAAGCAGGCAGGGATGGAGAACACAACAGGGAGCTGGGGCTGGGCAGGGTAGAGCAGGTCTGGGGTTTGTGGTCCTGTTGGGGGGCGCCCTCTGCTGGGCAGTGAGCTACATGACAAGGGGGGCACCACCGGGTGCTGTAGGAGAGGCAGCATGAAGAGGCAGGGTGCGGGCGGTGGCTGGGTGCTGGCCAGGGTTGCCGTAGCCACTTGGGGCTCGCCATGTGATGACTGCTGTCTGGGAGAATTTGGGTGGTAAGGGGGACAAGGGGTCTATGGCCACGTGTGTGATGTCTCTGCAGGATGCTGTGTCGAGTGTAGTGTGGGGTGGGTGCTCAGGGTGACCCAGTGACTGGGTGTCCTCGGAGTCCCTCCTGAGGTCAGTACGCTTATGGACTGCTGCTAAGATATCAGACACCTGCCCTTGACAGCTCTTAAAAGCAGGCCATCCCTGGTCCTCTCTCCCTCAAGTTCCTCCTCTTCCCATGCAGGGACAGAGCTGAAGGTCTCAGCTCCCAAGCACAGTTCTAAAAAGCAAACAAACTCGGACTAGTTCCTGAGGTGGGTCAAGGGTTGGAGCTAACCCACAGTGGGGACCATGGGGATCGTACCAACAGGAGGCCTGTCCAGGGTGTACCATAGGTCGAACTGCTCCGGGTGTGTTCTGGCAACTTCTTCAAGCTCCTTTCTCACCAAGATATCCTCCTCTGTCTAGAAAAGAAGCAACATGAGCAAAGCCTCTCCAGGAATGTCCTGCTTGGTCCCCACCCTGAGCGCACGGGTCAGCACATTTCTTCCTGGGCTGTCCCCCCGCTCAGGCAGGAGTGCTCTCGCACCGGCTCCTGGGGACAAACAAAGGTTCTGCTTCAGCTCCCACGCTACTAGTCCTCCCTCTTGTGGGCGGAGGACAGGGGAGGCTCCTGCAGAGGTGGTGACTGCCCTCCAGCTGGAAGGCCACCCAGAGTCCCGGCAGGATGGCCTCACTCAGAGGTCCCAGCCCACCATCCTGCCCCTATCCACACTGAGCACCAGGCAGGGCTAACCCAGCTGGAAGGAGCTGAGTGTGGGCTCAGGGTCTTGTGCAGGGGGCGCAAGGGGTGAAGGCAGTAATGTATGAGGTACCACCTAACGTAAAAGCACCGGAGAGCTAAAGTCGAGGAAAGCAAGGGCTGGAGCTTCATTTGGGGAAAGGGAGCCAAAGCCAAAAGGAACTCGTCATAAGCTCAGAGGTACCGCAGAGAGGACCTTGATCTTAAAATCTCCATGATTTTTGTGCCAGAAATTCTACTTCTGGGATCCTATTTAAGAAAATAATCTAAAAGGCACCAAGCCTAGGATTATCATTCATTTTATCCTTTCCAACTGTGAAAACTGAAAACAATCTGAATGCAAAAGCACAGTAAATTGTAGTACAACTTGATACAGACTGATGAAAATATTTATAAATAAGTTTGATGAGAAGAAAATGCTCATGTGGTAATGTTGAGCGAAAAAAAAGTATATAAATATAATTGCAAATACATGGCATGTACAGAAGAAAGAAAAGAAGTATTTATAAACTTCTGTATTTTCTGAAATTTCTACTGAGGGCATCTAAGACTTTATACTCAGAAAAACAGAATTACATATGAAAGAAGGAAAGCTTACTTCAAAACAAGGCTGGGGAGGCAGAAATAAAAACAGAAGCAAGTGGAAAACCAGGCCTGGACTTCACTCCTTGGGCAATGCCCCCCATCACCCGCCCGCCTCGGCTGAGCATGTGCTCCGCCCACAGCAGAGGCAGCAAGAGTTCAGTCGGGGAGGCATGAAGGCAGACACCCCATTCAGCAAACATGCTTCCTACCCCTTCAAGCCCAAGGCCAACTCGGCAGAACTGACCTGGTTAGCAAAGATGAGGGACATCCTGGTCCTGTCGCTGGGGTTCTTGGTGATGTGGCGAATGAGCTGCAGCATGGGCGTAATCCCTGGGATAGGAGAAGGTGGGACTCAGCTAGTGGCGCTCCGTCCCTCTCCGATGCCCACGACCCCTGGTCTGCGGCCCCCTCAGCGGTCTGCCTCAGCCCCAGGCCTACTTTTCTCATGCCTGCCCCCAAATTCAAAGTGGAAAACCACCCTTCATTTCAGTTTTCCCTTCTAAAGCAACAATAAATCGAAAGCCCTTTCTCATGTTCATGGGGCAAGACAGAAGGAGCCCTGGCTCTGAACTGTCTGGTTTCCCACCCAGCCCCACTGCCCCCCCCCCCGACTTGCTTTCTGAGCAGGGTGAGTCTGAGCTCTTCGATGTCCCCATGTGTACAACAGAATGACAAGTAAGTGTGATCATTTTACAAGCGCCTGTGATGGTGCCTGGCACATTGTAGGTGTCCTTACACATCTGTTCTCTTCTTCCAGACATTCATTTTCAAGGGATGGGGAGCACTGGGCTTGATCTGGATCCAGAAGCCCTTAGGGGACCATGTGTGGACCTGCTCAGCTCAGTCTCTGGACTCTTCCATGTTCGCTAGCATGTTGGGTCAGGGGAGGAGGGCACACGGGGTCCATTTCCAGGCCTGTCATCAATCCTGCACTCCCATCTAAAACAGCTGTAGAAGGTTCTCCTCTAGGTCAGATGACTCCAAAGTGAGAAGGGTCTCGGGGCCCCCCCCCACCCTGTGGATGAAGCCCCGGAAGCCACTCACCTGTGCCCCCAGCGATCATTCCCAGGTGACTGACCAGCTTCTTTTCAGGCTCACTTGTTTTGTATGCCTTGATTGAAAAGTGCCCTAGAAACAGAGGACCCCTCTGACTTCTGCAGCTCTTGCCTGAGAGCTTGTAAGAGATCACGGGCTTTCCTTGGGACTCGCAGGAGGCAAGGCCACCCGAGGAAGGGGCCCGCACTGTTCACAATCAGAGAAGCGGGTCAGGGCGGCCCCCTCCACCAGCCCCGGGGTCTTGGTGCACAAAGTGGAAACCAAGCCGAGAACTCGCTGGACCTGTTCTTCTGAGGGGGGAGGGAGGTGCCGTGGAGTTAAATGGAGCCTCTCAGAGCACTCTCAGCCACAGCCTGAACGAACAAGGTAGTGAGGAGTACCTGGTAAGGACGAGAGTGGCTGCCATCCATCCACCCAGCCATCCATCCATCCTTCCACTGCTCAGCCTTAGCAGGCACCCTTTCTGCATCGAGCATCGTGGAGAGCCGGTCTCCATGAGGAAACACCCTAGCGCTTCCCTATCTTAATGAAGCTTACAATCTCATCAAGTGTGTGGAGTGGGTGCTTTAAGGACAAGTCCACAGGACCCACCCTCCAGAAGTGTTCTACAACAGGAGCAACCACAGGAATCTTCTTCCTTCCAGTGCAAGTACCTGGCTCAGGGTAGAACAGGCGACCGTTTGGCCCTCGAAAAAGGATGGTGTCCCCAATTTTCATGTTCTCCAAGTACTGAGTCATCTTCCCCCCTTCTGGATAATTGGGGTGCACATTTTTGAAGTAGATCTGAAAAAGAAGGCAGCCTGGTTCGTACCCTCTCAGACCTGAGGCCACAGCTGCGAACAACTCAAAATTCCATTTGCTACTGGAAGCCTTGCAGCGAAAGTCCTCTGCACTCAGAGTTGCTCTAAAGACCCCAGAAGACTTCCCCACAGCTTCACTGTTACATGACCCTGCTGGGAAGCCCTTCCCAGGACATGGGTTCCTTCTCTACCCAACCACCTTTCCTAGGCCTGGTAGGGAAAAGCAGCTGGATGCAGTGGGCACCACTTACCTTTATAATCAAGTCCACAAAGCCTCGGTCATCATCGCTGGACACCGGCGTGTAAGCCCTGACCACCAGAACACCATCAATCTTGGCCAAGAGATGGACATAGTTCCCTACAGAAAAGGCATCCCATGTTCAGTGAGCACAGCCATCCGAAACAGGACACAGGGTTCCCATAAAGGACTGAGCTTCAGGGAGGCAAGTGCCCAGTATGGCAGGGTGCTCAGCAGCAGGGCCAGGTAGGGAAGGGGCCCAGAGCCAGGATGCCTGGGGCCTAGGCCTGCCCTTGTCACTCTGTGTACTATCCTGGGCAAGTCATTTCACCTCTCTGGGTGAGTGGGCATGATATGCCTGCCCTCCATCCCAGTGGAGCTGGGAGCTTTGTGGGAGTGCCTGCCTCCTGCGTCAGAGTCCCCCGTGCCACACGGAGAACTCATTCAAGTCAGAGGCTGAGTATTAAAAATAACAGAAAGGTGTGCCTCCCTTTTAAGGAAAAATATGTCACCTTCACAAAGTCGTTTCTTCCTGAATGGGGTGGATTGCTGGGGTCCATGAATGAACCACAGCCCCCATCACCTGCCTCCTGTTGCCTGGCACAGGGCCAGCCCTCGGCTCACGAGCATGCTGGGTCCCGGGATTTGGACACCACAGACCAGGAGTTCTAGAAGAGCTATTGTGTCTTCCTGGCCCATAGCTCTGCTTGAGGAAGAGTCAAGTTCTGGGCCGTGGAATTCTGCCCCTCCAGGGTAGAACTGAATGGACCAGGTATGGCCACAGACCTATATTGATTAGGACTAAATCCCAATGTCACAGGGTGGGTGGGGCCGCTAAGGTCACCCCTGGATCTAAAGTGGGACAGTTTGATGACTACAAGAATAGTGGTGTGGGCAGGAGCTGCCCACAGGATCTGCTAGGAGACAGAGGCAAAAGGAAGCTCTGGGCCATCCGAGGGAATGAAACCATATGCAGGAAAGATGGGGTGGATATGCAGACATATCCACCTGGGAGACCTGGGAGAGACAGAAAAAAAGAGAAGGGGGAAGGGCAGGGAGGAGAGGAGGAAGGGCGGCGCTGGAGGAGCCGGGTCCTTCTATTTGCTTTGGAGTGTAAACCCTGCAAGTCCTCAGGGTCTCTGAGGAGGCCCTGAAGCCTGAGATGCAAACACTCAGGGTTAAGAAAGGACAGACTCTATACTGGAATTAAACTGAAGGGAAGGGAAAGAAAAAAGGACAGGCTCAGTGACTCTGCTATGTCCCTGTTGCCTATCAGGGACACTCAGAAATAAATGCCTGAGGCAGCTTCCTCCTACGGACAAATGTGAACCTGGAGACCTCAGAAAGGCTCTTCCAGATGCAGCCAACCTGGGCCTGGCCTGGCCATATCCTTCCTGGAGAAAACTGGGCTGCCCTGGCGGGCCCCTTTTCTCACCTGCTTCGATTCAGCTGAGCTGGGAGGCCCTCACAGCAGACTCTTCCAGACGCCTCTAAACTATCTGTCCCACTAACTCTGCCTATACCAGGGCGAAGGAGAGGCTGGGTCATGGCAGAGTCTCAGAAATTCTATTTCTCATCATTTTGCATTCTTTTAGCCTTCTTGCCAACAGGGCTGCCCCCAGAGGCCAGGCAGAGGGCTGGAAGGCAGGCTGGCACCAAGCTCCTGTGGGTGGAGACAGGAAACGGAAGAAGCAAGGAGGCTCGGGGGCCAGGTGGGCTGCCTGGTGAGTAGTTTCATGACCTGCCAGAGGAGAGGTCAAGATGATGTCCTACGTACACAGGACAAGTAGGCATGGATTAGGGTCTCCACCAGGTTGGCAAGCAGCACTAGCAGTCTGTTCAAAGCTCTGAATCCCCAGGCTGTGGACCTAGCAGATGTTTTCCACCCCACTAAGACTGACTTGGGTCTGCTGGTGTCTGCAGACTAGAAATGGGATAACTTGGAACTCTAGGCCCGCTAGGGCTGGTTTTCACACTGGGTCCCTCCCTGTGTGGGTCTGAGGTCCCTGCTGAAAAGACACCCTGTGCCGGATGACACTCCTGCCTCTCCACACGTTCTGGGCCTCTCTCCTGACTGTAGAGGACATCAGTTCCTTCCATCCCTCACTTGTACACAGCATTTTACACTTTCTCATTTTTCACACCCATCAGTCACCTTACCTTCACAACAACCTAAGTGGCAGGCAGGTCTGGGAAACTCCCATTTCATAGACCAAGGCTCAGAGAGGTTGAAGGACTTGCCTAAAGTTGCCCACCAAGGAACCTGTGATGAGATCTTAGGCCTGCTGATTCTAGATTCACTTCTTTTCAGTGCTCACTAAATCACTTCTGTGATTAAGCACATTAATCACTTCTGTGCTGGCCCAAATCAAGCAATGAGAAAGGAAATGGACTGCCCCCAAGCCCATCTCTCTACATCTCTGAGCTTACCTGTCTCAGGAAGGGCAGGGCAACCTCCACACCCCATCTGAGTTTCTGAGAGGAGCAGAGTGCCTGCAAGGCCCAGTCCTGGTGATGACCCCAAACCCCACTCACCTACAGGAAGCCCCAAGACATGATCTGGTGAGGGCAGTCCAAAGCGGAACCTCCGCGTGTTGTGAGTGATTTGCTATAAAACAGAAAACAGAGGCAGGCTCTGTCAGCTTTCCAGAAGCTCCAATGCCTGGCAAAGGAGCTCTATTTGGTATGATCCCAGCACACACACACACACACACACACACACACACACACGCAGAAGGATGCAAAGTGGAGGCCAGTAAATGCCTCTCCCACTGCCCTGCCTTCCCACCAGCACATTCCCCACCACTCTTGTCTTCTCTCTCACAGGCTGACCCCACTACCTCTTTCTCAATCAGGGGCAGCGGGTACTTGGTTTCAGAGTCCCGTAAGGTGGTATATCTTCTCCGTAAGTTCATGTTCCGCAGGGCCAACAGGACCACCGTGACTCCAACGATGGTGATGGCAAGGAGCAGGGTCGAGTCCTGGCCAGACACAAAGTGAGCAGAGCACCTCAGGTCCCGCATGCTCAGGGCAGGATGGTGCTCGGGCAGAAGAAATCAGAGGGAAAGGTAATAAAACAGAACCCAGGGTGCCTGGGTGGGTCCATCAGCTGGGCATCTGCCTTCAGCTCAGGTCATGATCTCAGGCTCCTGGGGTGGAGATCCATGTGAGGCTCCCCACTCAGTGGGGAACCTGCTTCTCCTCCACCCCCATGTGCATGCTCTCTCAAATAAATAAATAAAATCTTAAAAAACAAAACAAAACATAAAACAGAATGTAGGCTGACCCTATGGTGGACCTGGAGGATAGGGAGGAGTGAGCTGCCGATCAGACAAGGCCAACCGGAATTAATGTCACCAGGCCGTTCCTACCCATCTGCCTCCAACCTGGTACATCCAGGGGTGCCAGTCCTGGGAGTCCCACTCCTTGAGTGCTGCTGCGGCTTTTTAAAATAATAATAATAATTATTATTATTATTATTGAGAGAGAAAGCATGATGGGGTGAGGTGGGGAGGGAGAGAAAGAATTCCAACCAGGCTCCACTGCCTGAGTCTGATGTGGGGCTGGATCTCAGGTTCTTGGGATCTTGTCCAAAGCTTAACCAACTGAGCTACCCAGCACCCCCCCCCATGGCACTGCTTCTAACCCACAATCTAAGATGAATGTCCCAGTCCCCAAAGGCAGAGCTAAAGAGGGGGGATAGGCGCTGTGTCCCCCAGCAGCTTGTTGCTGCTGACCGCTAGGCAGGGGATGGGGCTCACCAACCCCACGATTCCCCCAACCAGGTTCGGGCGGGTTGGGGTGGGGTGAGTACCTCCGACTTCGGGGTGCTCCATTACCTTCGCGCCTCGGGACACACCAGCACCTTCCAAGGCAGGCGAAGGTGGCTCGGCCACTCACTTGCAGCCACTCGCGCGGGATATGGCCCCTTCCCCCAAGCCGCCCCCACCCCGCCCCGCGGCCCGCTCCGCCAGCCCCTGGCCCGACCCGAGACGGCCCCAGGCGGGACCGGACAAGGGCCTCCGGGCCCCGCTTGCGGCGGCGCCACGCCTGCCGGGTCGCAGCTCGGGCCGCCCCGCTCCCCGCCCCTCGAGGCCCCGCCCGGCACCGCCCTTGCCCTCGGCCTCGCCCTCGGCCTCGCCCTCGGCCTCGCCCGCCCAGCCGACCCCGGGCCCCGTCGGACTTCCGCGGCCTTTCCCAGCCACGCCCCGGGCACCCACCCGCAACGAGACGCCGAACATGTCGTCGAAGTGCCACTGGCTGCCAGGCCGGGGCGCGTCGGGTCGACTCGCGGGAGAACCCGCAGCTCCGCCTGGCTGACCGGGAAGCCTCGCAGACGCGCGGGCGCACGCCGGGAAAGGCGCTAGAACCGCAACGCGCGCCGGGCCGCTCCCGCACAGCCCCCCTCCGTAACTCCTTCCTGCTCCCAGCTCCCCGCTCCCCGCCCACGCGGCCCGCAGAGTTCCACTCCCACGCCGCTCGCGCCCTGCCGCGCCCTGCCTGCGGGGTGACACTGCTGTAGGGTCCCCGTTCCTAGCGGCCATCTCTCGTTTATTCGTGGCCCCCTCTCCATCGTGCCCTCTCCCAGCACTCTCAGAGCAGCCCGGATGGAGAGCTTCCTCTCCGCGCGTGGTCCAAAGGTGGGAGAGAGGGAGGTGCGTCCTGGTGGGAGGAGGGGATGCTGGTAAGAGAAATGGGAATTTAGGCCAAGTCCAAGAGCACATGAATATATTCCTTCAACGCACATAAGGAGCTCCTACTGTGGGCCTGGTCCAGCGCTGGGTGTTTGCCCGGGTGGGGGTGTCATGGAGATAAGACATTCGTTCAGAGCGCTCATTCACTCATTCATTCTCTATTGGGAGAGAGAGATGGCAGGTACCCAACCCTAGACCAACAGGAGGCAGAATGGCAGGCATCAACGGTAATGGGGGTTCTTCGCCAGCACATTTCAGAACCTTGATAGTCTTCCGCCCCCCATCAGTTCTCCCCTTGCGGGTGGCAACGGTGAATCCCTGCCCCTGGGCCCGAGAGAGGCCAAGAGATAGCCAGCCATCCCCAGCCCCCTATCCACACCAGCACTGGCACGTACTTAGTGAACACCTGCCCTAGTACTTGCAGGTACCAGGGTATTATTGTAAGCTATCTTAATTATTGACAGGCTAATAAATGTAAAGTGATAGCTTCTACCTAATATCATTACCTGGGAGCTGAGGAGGTTGAACATCCTTCATATGCTTATGCCCCATGGTGGGTTTTTTTTTTTTTCTGGGGGGAAAAAAAAGTGCCTGCTCATGACTTTTGCCTCTTTTCTCAGGAGTTGACTTTTTCTTACTAATTTTTAGGAGTCTTGTATATATTAGAGACCACTTATTTGCCAGTTAGATCAGTTACAGATATTTTCTCCTGGTATGCAACTTCCTCTCCCCCGCCCTTCCTCCCTTCCTTCCTTGCCTCCTTCCTTCCTGCCTCCGTTCCTCCCCTTCTCTCTCTGCTCTCTCTCTCTCTCTCTGTCTTGATGAACACCAGTTTGTAATTGCAGTGTAGTCAAATGTATCAATCTGCAATCTTTTGCCTTTATCATTATTGTCTGTTTGTATGCAGGATCATAAAGATCCTCTCTATTTTTCCTGACAAGACTTAAAGTTTTTACTTTAACATTTAAGGCTGTCAGCCATCTGGAACTGATCTCTGTATATGATGCACAGCAGGGATCCACCTTAATTTTTTCCATGTGGATAATCTGTTGTCTCAGTAAAATGTGTGGACTTGCTCACCTGGTCAATAACCTACAATATCACCACTGTCATGTACCAGCCTTCATGTATGGCTAAGTCTGCTTCTGGTCTCCTTGCTCTCTTTTGATCTCCTTTCCCAACCCCTCTGCATGCTGCATGCGTACCATGCTGCTCTAATTACAGTCGTTTATTACGACTTTCTATCTTCCTCTCATACATTCTTGGGGTCTCAGTTCAAATATCACTTCTTCCTTAGAGATGCCTGATCCAATCCCCCAATTTAAATAGATGCACACATTATATTCTCTTCTTGGCTTTTACTTCAGTTTCTGATTATACATCCTGTCTATTTAATTGTTAAATGGCTGACTCTCACATTAGTCTAGATGTTCCATTGTGGCAGAGGTGTTTCTCCAGGGCTGAGCACAGTGACTATCACAAGGAAGACAATAAATAGGTAACAGATGAAGGAGGAGTGAATTCCTCTCTGCCCTGCCTCATTTAGCACACTGCCTGGAACACAGTAGCTGCTCCAGAAATGCTCAAGAGAAGAACAGTCCTTTCCGTCAGTGTCCCCCTTTTTGCTTAATCTGTCTCCATAAGACATGTCAGCAGATGACATACTATGTATCTTAACTACTTGCTTACTCCTTCTCTCCCTCTACTGCAATGTAAGCTACATGAGGCCAGGATTTGCTCCCCCCTCCCTTTTTAAAAGATTTTATTTATTTAGTTGTCAGAGAGCGAGAGACCACAGCAGGAGGAGCAGCAGAGGGAGAGGGAGAAGCAGGCTCCCTGCTGAGCAGGGACCCTGACCAGGGCCTCCATCCCAGGATGCAGGGATCATGACCTGAGCCAAAGGCAGATGCTTAACCCACTGAGGCACCCGGGTGCCCTAGGACTTGCTTTGTTTTAACTCCTGTTGTTTCCCAGGCCTCAAAACAGTGCCTAGCAATTGGTAGATGCTTAATAAATATTTTCTGAATGAATGAATGAAAGAGTGAATGAAGAACGAACTTAATTTTCTCCCTCCGGTTCAATCAACTTTTTCTCTTTGGCTTTGGAAGCATTGGGCACCTCCATTTTTCCTGTGGCTCTTAACAGTTGCCTCTACCCCCCCATTCCCCTTTCTTTTTTTCTCTCCATGTGACCAGAGAGGCAGCGACACATCTCCCTTTGTTACCCTTGGAGCAGGATAAGAGACAGGCATCTGTCTGGGCTCTCACCGATTCTGAGAAGGCAGGGCTTCCCCTCTCTCCTCATGCGCCCCTTGCATGCCCATGTTCTGCCTGGTTTGGCTCATGTTTTACTATTCCATGAAATAGACTATGAGCGCAGGTCTCACTCCCTACATCTGCAGATTGGTAATTGGCAGAGAGGAGGCACTCAGCAAGAGTTTGCTGAAAAAAGAAACAATGAATGTGTATTGTCACTGCTTTAGGATGTATGAAACTCTGCCCCACAGGACAGTTTCTCGAGTGAGGGGACCGGCCGCCTTCACTGCTGAGACTCCCCTAGTGGGGACTGATGCTGTGGCCAAGTCAAAGCTCTCTGAGCCTTTGCTCTTTAAACAGTGTCTGAGCTGCTGCGGGCTTTTCATTAGCTTTTTTTTTTTTACCTTAAAAGTGATTTATTTCCATTTTACCCCTGAACAGATGACCACCTCTGAGGTCCTAGCTATTAAGCCTATGTTGTGGTAGGTTGGATAATGATCTTCCCCAAATGGGCCCACATCTTAAATCCCAGAACCCATGAATGCTGGCTTATATGGCAAAAGGGGCTTTGTTGCTCTGATTAACCTAAAGATTTTGAAATGGGAAGACTATCCTGGATTGTCTGGTTGGGCCCATTGTGATCACAATAGTCTGTATAAGAGGGATGCAGGAGGAGACAAGAAGGCAATATGATGTGTCCACAAACCAACGAATGCAGGCAGCCACTAGAAGCAGGAAAGCGGCAAGACAAAGGATTTCTCCTGAGAGCCTCTGGAAGGGACCAGCCCTGGCAATACCTTGCCTTTAGCCCTGTGAAACTGATTTCATACTTCCGGCTTCCAAAACTGTAAGAGACCAACACATTTGTGCTGTTTAAAGACAGCAAAATTGTGGTAATTCGTGATAGCAGCAATGGGAAACTGATATGCTAAATGAATTATTATTTTTGTCTCATTGGGCTTATTTATTTATACTTGGATTTATTCCAGAAACAGCTTTCCTGGGATTTGG